AGAAATAAAAGGCTTTTTGTGAGTTCTGACTTTTTACTTTTTTTATATTGTCAAAATTACTAAATCACCTCTTTTTTTTAACAACAAACTAATATCATTATCCGTGAAACAAGTATCAGGTAGTATCCAAGTATAAAAGGTATAAACTAATAACATAATTAATAAATAAATAACTATCAAGTGTAGACGACACGACAGCATGTCTCAAGATACTGTCTTAAGTCCTATCTTGTTTAATTTTATTTTAAATAATTTGTCATTATACAGATGGAAATATTAAGTTTTTCAGACGACACAGTTATTCTGTAAAATGTAGAAAACTGGAATTGATTAAAATTATTAATAGAAACAGATCTTATAAAATTTTTCGAATGGTTTAATTATAAAAACTTACAAACCTTTGATAAAACCTATGGTGTTCCATTATACAGTTACAAAAAGATGGCCTCTTCCTATAGGAACAATAAAAGGTAACGTTCAGTAGTTTCATATAAGTATTACAAATGACATGAAATACCTAAAGTACAAATTGACTTTCATTATAAATGGACTAAGCATATAAATAATGCGTTGAATGTACATTTAAAAATAATCTATTTTGCACTCATAGAATCATTATGTTATAGGATCCTTTCTTGGAAAGGTGTTTTACCTGCTTATGTAAAATTGTCCTGCAAAAAATATTACTAATAATATTATGTAATAAAATGATCGGAAATTCTCTTCGATATTAGGAAGTTTTATATGTACTCCAACAAAAACATCTAAGAAAGAAATATCACAGCGGTGTTTGACCTAAATAAAAGTATAGGATATTTAATTTTTTTTAACGCATGTCTTCAAAACATATTTATTTTTCAAACCTTAATGATTTGTAAAATGTAGATTAATAAAGACATTGTCATAATAAAGACGTAAAAAAGTCAATATTTTTTTTAATACAATATTGCTTTGATTTTTTAAATGAAATCCCTCTATAAAATATCCCAAAAATATTTTCCTATATTTATCCCACCCAACATGCAATCTCAAAGTAAAATTTATTCACATAATGAAGGTTAATAAAAAAAATGCAAACTTCTGGCAATAAAATAGCAATTCGTTAAAATGAGAGAAATCGGTAAATTTAGATAATATGCAAATGAGAATGTATTATTTTCTTTTCTACGCCCCTTTGTGACAGTACGTCACTGGTAGACCGGAAACACTTGTCACCATATTCGTCTAGTTCACTGCCAAAATTAGATACCATCGCGATTCCCAAGGTCGTTTAGGATTCCTCCTTCCTGACTATATATATTCTAAGGTATTTCGGGTGAATGACATGTAAACTACGTATGTCATTGATTTCGGGTATGCCCATTCGTATCCTCTCTAGTCTTTATATCTACAGTAACAATCAAAAATAACGTCAATCACTGTCAGTATTCCATTCAACTGATCTCACCATTTACATTAACTTACCTTGAACCGGCCAACTACGTTTCCGTTTTAATTTATCCTGTCACTGTCAACAGTCATTTAAAACGATACCAATAATTCCTGTTTAAAAAGCCAACAAGAAACTTAAATAAATAATTAAACAACGATGTTGGTCGCTATACAAGACAAGGCTGATTTGCAAGCCAAACTGAACGAAGCTGGAGACAAGTTGGTCGTATTAGATTTTTCGGCAAACTGGTGCGGTCCGTGCAAGATGATCGGACCGAAAGTCGACGAATTGGGCAAAGAATTCACCAACATTGTGATACTGAAAGTCGACGTGGACGAGTTCGAAGACATCGCTATGGAGTACAACGTTTCATCGATGCCAACGTTCGTATTCATCAAGAAACAGAACGTTATCAACACTTTCAGCGGTGCTAATTATGAGAAATTGAGAAGTACTATTGAGGCGCACAAGTAATTTTTGATGCGTCAAAAAAAAGGAGTTCAAATATGCAAATAGAGTTATGGTACAGGAATAATCATTTTCAAAACATTTTTTTACTTTGGTAAAACAGTTTCAATAAATACTAAAGCAGTAAATGGTATTTTTTTATACATATACGAGCCCAGAATCATATCATTTGGCCTATTCAATATTTTTTATTTTACTTTAGACAACATTGGTAAATACAAAAGAAAAATCTATTAAATCCAACTATTTTTATTATAATTTGAGACATGTTTATCAACATTTTTTATTAAAATTAATATTAGAAAATTAGAGATAAGCACAGTTGTCTAAAATACAATTAAAAATATAACATTGAATGGGCCAAATGATATGAATCTGGGCTCGTATATTGCTTACAACTTCTTTCAAACCTAAAATGACGTTTGACTTGTCCAATTTTATTCTACAAAATCTTAAATTTTCTGGTTATTTTACCAAGAAAATATCGGCAATTTAATATTTATACTTTTATATTTATAAGAACTTTATTTTAAAAAAATCGTTAAACAGTTTTTTACTCAGAACTTTACTAGATATAGAAATTATAAAAACAGGGAACTCCAAATATTCTTTTTCACCTTTCTCTCTCCATTGTTTTGATCCCACCCGGACTCTCCGCATCCGCCCGGTAAAATGGTCCAGTTACACAAACCAAAGCGACTTTATTTATCATTGCCATTCAAGGGGAACATTTTTTTATTAAATACGTTTCCTTTCAAGGCCATTTTGAATTTTTAAAAATTTAATTAGGGTCTGTTATCTTTTACTCCTAAAATACTCAGATGCCAATTTTAATCTAAATCTACCGACTGTATAGAACTGACCGGAAGTATATCAGGTTTTGAGCCAGGAAAGGAATCTTACTTGCATACAAAATTTGAAGTTTTTCTCTACCGCACCAACCACAGATATATAATCAGAGGCAGTGGCGGCTTGTGGCCAAAATATTGGGATTCAGTACAGATGTATGAAAAAAACTTTCAGTGTTTTGGAAAGTTTATAATATAAGTTTCTAAAACACTGACAGTTTTTTACCTATATCTGTACCGGGATCTATATTCTGCTACTGTGAACCCCCAAAATTTTGATCACGAGCCACCCCTGATCAGAGGAGATAGGAAGTGTAATTTGCATCCGGCACGTATAATCTATAATCTATAAAGTCGTAGAATTGAGCGGCCATCTTTTAACAAGAAGAGACTCACGCACTTGCGCATTGATTGCGTATTGAAGTGTACAGGATAGGGCTGATACATTTGAGCACAATTCGAAAATATTAAGGATATAATTACACAATAGAAACTAATAACCTTAAAAATTCGTAATAGAATTTTCTTATTTTTCTTTTTTATGGATTTTAAGAGATTTTAAAATATAAAAAATATCAAAGTCTTGTTTAAAACTTTATTTAAAATTAAGTAAAAACATAAAAGAGATAATAATCCAAGTTCGTAATATATTTTATAGCAAAAAAAATCTGGAAGCGTTCCGAAATTAAGTTGAAGATGGACACAGGGCAGAGTAAATGTGTGCCTCTTTTGTTTTCTTTCTCATTATGATGCGAAAAACAAGGACAATGAGAATATCGCTTAGCAAGAGATGAACACATGCGATGGATTATACGTCACAAGGGGGGCGCTGTCCTTATCGTCACGTGCTGTACAGAACCTAGACCAGATACGAATGTACGCAGCGGCATCTTTACCGGCTCCCTCACAAAGGCGATGCCGGTTTCGGCTTAAGGTGCAAGTTTGTTGGACCATGATAATAATTTATTTATTGTGATTACGAAAAAAAGTTAGTTGGACCATTGGAATAGTTAAGAAATAAAACTACAAAGAAAAATAACTTTTTTTATAAAGCAGTCAAAAATATGATGAAAAAAAATCAATAATATTTATAAATGGGACAAAATTTTAATTTTTCTTTTGGTTTTGTCTGACTTTTTCGAGGATTTCAAATCTCTGTTTGCATATTTAAAAGTATAAAAAATTCTGAGTCTAATAAATAATTTAATGGTGTACATTTTCGCAAATTGTTGGCAAGGATGACCAAATTCTATTTTGCTCATCTCAAAAAGGTACGCGTTGGAAATTCCAGGCTTAGTTGACAAACTATCAAATAGAGATATAAATATTTTTTCTAATTTGAAAATATAAAAGAGAAATTTTTCACTGGGAGATTTTAAATTGCCAAACACCTTTTCTTCAGAGTCGTATGCTTTAAAATGCGTTAACAAGTTAGAATTGTTAAGTAAATTGCATTCTTCTGAGAAATTTACGCAAATTTCGCAAGAGTGGATTATGTAATGATTTTTTGATTAAATAGCCACATACATAGTTAAATGCATTTTGAGTGGTCACATTTAGCTCCCTGTAGTCACATTCAGAAATCGTTATTGCCCCAACTGATTGTTTTGAAATATATTTAATTTTCATTAAGCGAAGAACTTGTTTTCCTAAGGGCAAAACGAATCCCGGGATTCCTTTCCAGTGTGTGCCTCACTGTCGCTAGTGCCCACGAGTCGCCACTGGTACTAAGTTTCTATATTAATAGACAGTTTAAAAGTGTTTCTGATTTTACATATTTCTCATATAAACATTATAGTGTTCAAAATATTGTTCTCTTGACTGTTTTTCTTTGATAATAATTCAATACCCGTAACAGTATTAGCCAAAAGAGTTGGATACAGATGGAGAATATTAGTTCTCTAAGCCATAGTAGGGATGGTGTGAATTAAAATAAAATCTCAAAAATAACAGTTCATAAGTTGGTATAAATACAGTACAGAGCAGCATTAATAAAATATAGCAGTTAGTTTGGACCTGGTACGGTAGCCATAATGGTACTAGTCATTTTTAGTATACATTATGTAGCATCGTCTTTAGTGTAAGGTCTCACACCAATTTATTCGTAGATTTAGAAATACTGTAGTAGATGGTGCAGGCTAGAATATTCAACTGTCTGGGATTCCCCACCTTCACCCTAGTTGTTTTCCGGAAGTAAACAGTCACTAGTATTTTTCTCTATTTTATTTTACATTATTTTGTTTTAATTTCAGATATTTAAGGAATTGCAGTGGCGGAGAGCAGAGAAGGGTTTCTTTAGCGGCAACGTTAATACATAAACCCGAGCTGCTCATTATGGACGAACCAACAGTGGGATTGGATCCTGTCATGAGAGAAAAGTAATTTATTTTTGAATATTCAATAATTTTATAAGTAATATAGTATATTATATAAGTAGGTACACAAATTGGTCAGCATAATTAGGTAATCTTAATAAGATTCTTTGCGTGCTTTAAATATCTATACACCGTTAAGGGTCAATTAGGTCAGGTTAGGACTCATATGCAAATTATTGACAGGTATGATCGTGCGCTTACCTTTTTCATATCGAGTTTTTTTGAGAAGATCTTGTAAATTGTATGTATGATAATATGATAAAAATTTAAAAATATCCATCAATTGAAAAGGTATAGTGAACATCAAAGTAATAAAATATAATTGTGAAAGTTTACCAAAACAATATTATACAAATTTACAAAAACAACAAAATTTTACCAAAAATAGCTCTCAATTTGTAGAAAAATACACGACGTATTATCAGTAGTTAAGAAGGGTGGCTCCAGATTGAATTTTCGGAGGGGCCATTAGTATTTTTAGCATATTTTTTTAATAAAAGGCTTATTGATTATAAAAACTTTCATCCTGGGTGGCATGGCCTTCATCTTTAAATTGTTATGTATTTTTTTAGAATATGGAACCATTTGTACGAAATTACAAGATCAGAAAAGACGTCCGTTATAATAACCACCCACTACGTGGAAGAATGTAGAAACGTAGATACGGTAAGAGGAGTATTTGGATATCTAAAGCTATTTTGTTAAATGATATTTTTTAGGTAGGATTCATGAGAAAAGGTAGACTGTTAGCAGAGGAATCACCGAAGCTTTTACTAGACACGTACCGTGCAGAGACTTTAGAACAAGTATTTTTAATTTTAGCACAAAACGACGTCAATCTTAAAAGATCCAGCATATCTGTTTTAGAAAATAACGCACAAAATACTATTCAAGTCGTAAGTATCTATATTATAATTAATCAATTTTAAGCGTATTTGATAATTTAGTAGAAACATTCACCCGGTGTTACCTAAAGTTACCAATAAAATGCAATGAAGTGATAGAAATGTTTTTAAACATAACTTTAAAAAGCAAAACTAATAAATAGAAAACGCTACAATCTTTGAATAATAAACTGTAAGCGCCAGTTTGTCAGTTCGGTAAGAATACCCGAAAATCTGTAAAAGTCCTCGCCGTTGGCAACACTGTTGCCGTAAATACACTAGCGAACCTAGTGGATTTTTACACGTAACCCTGATCTCTTTTAGCCACGTTTTCTTTTATTTTTAAAAGGTATATCGTGACTAATATTATATATAGTGAAATGTAACTTATCATGGGCAAGCAAAAAAAATTGAAAAACTATTTTTGTTTTTGTATTATTTTAGGAACAAAGAAGAACAAATTGCGGTACGTGGAAAAGGAGGTTTACAGTCGATAAAAGAAGATTTAGGGCGTTAATAGATAAAAATTGGAAACAGTTTTATAGAAATATTACGTAAGTAAATACAATTTATTATTTTCTATAGGCACAGGATGTCCATTTATATTTTATCTGTGTTATAGATACACAAACAAGGTTTGAAAATAAATTTGTATGGAACTGAAAAAGGTACATCAAAAAATGTTTTTGCAAACTTTATTCTAATAATTGTACAATAACATCGTTTCCTTCATATTTTATTTCACTTTAGGATTTTAAATTCATTCGGATAACACTAACTTTGACTTCAAACTTTCTCTATTAAGTTTTCTTTAAAAGTTTCCCTCTCAGGAAATACGTATTGATATGCCGGTTCTCCAAATTCAACTATCCATAATGAACCATTCTTTGCGTACTTCAATATTTTCACAACTTCTTCGGAAACAAAATCTGGACTATAAAAAATACTAATATTTATTAAAACAACAATTTAAATTATCTGCTACTTATTACTGATTTTAATGCAGGGGTTGAAATTTACGTGAAACTTTTAAAAATACACACTTAGCAACATTTTAACTTTTATTTTCTTGTGGGATCTTTAAATGTATTCATCATAAATAAATTATATTTATCGTTGTAGGTGTATTAAATATATTTAGAAGAACAAAATGACATGTCGTGTATAAAATTAAAAATTAAAAGTTTTGATTAACAACTGATTCTTAGCAACCGAAGTTGCTCAGTAGATGAGTTTAACCTTTGTCACATTAGGACTGAAGGGTTGTCTAAAAGGTGACAAGTGTATGACGTTCTAAGGTAGGAACGTATGTAGTGCAATTGCATATCGTTTTTACAATTCTTTATAATTATTTTCACTCACTTCTTTCATATTAAAATCCAAATCAATCAACATATCTTCTATTCAAAATATCGTTGCTTAAAAAAAGCACTAAATTGTTTCCAAATGTACGATTTTCAAAAGTAGAATTATCAAAAGTAGAATTTTCAATATCTGTAATTATTTTCAAACCTTAACTATTAGTCTCACCTTTGTCTGTGATCCGGGCCATTCTTTTCCTTTGACTCCCCTTGGGCCACCATATATTCCGATGTTAATGCACAATTTTTCTCCTGAAATAATCCCGTGTGGGTTCCTCCGGGACAGATTGCAACCACTCTAACTTTGGTTCTTTCGTAATGGAAATCATGACCCCAAGATTGGGTCAATCCAGCAATGGCTGCTTTGGTACAACCGTAGATCGGCATCCATGGACCGGGTCTTATGGCTGCTATGGAAGAAGTGTTTAGAATTACAGCTTCTTCGCCTTGTTTGTGGTTTTTTAAATACGTTTCTAAACCTAAGATGATACCGTTAATGGTTCCTTTCTAAAATATAATAAATGTGATAATATAAAGAAATTACTGCGTATAAAGCCACAATACTTACTATATTTATGTCTACTTCATTTTCCCAATTCAGATCACTGTAGATTCCTGCATTATTTATCAGTATGTCGATGTGGTTAAATGTTTCTAGCGTTTTTCTAAAAGCAACTACAAATTTTAAAAGTAAATCAGGTTAATTTAGATATTTATGCTATATGACTGACGTCCAAGAAAACAAATGCCAATTATACAAGATTAATAATTAATGAAATTATATTTTAAGATACTTGCATTCGAATTCCTGTTTTGATGATATATTACTTCTAACAAAAACAGCTCTGCCTGTACCAAATTCTTTCTCTATCTTCATCAAAGCCGTCTTTCCTGCATTTTCGTCTATATCGACTAAAGTTATACCCTAAAAGTGTAATATTGATGTTTGTTAATTGTTTTTTTTTAATATTATACATGTACATACGTGTAATTCATTTCGTAGAAGTTCCTTAGCATAACTTAAACCTAAACCTGAAGCACCTCCTGTAATAATAGCAACTTTACCTTTAATGTCGAACATTCTGCCATTTATTTTTAATGCGATTTTAACATTAATTGGTACCTATCTTGTTTAAAATTTATAAATTTCACTGTTAGATGATTAGATTAGATATACATACGTCACGTATCCTTCATTAAATATGTATTATTTATATAAAATCTCAGTGGAATTGTTTTTATAATAAATTTGTAAGCCTTTTTGTGTTTCGTGCAAGATTATTCATTTATTTAAATTGCAAAACACTTTTGGGGATAACGCCATAATGTCACCTGTACAGGTTTCACCCGGACTGTCTGGGTTTTAAACAATTTGTCCGATGTCCGGTAGCATGATGAAAATGTCCGGGAATATCTGGATAAAAGACTTGTGTTTTAGAATAATTTGGTTTATTTTTTTGTGTACTGGCCAGGACTTTTCCCTGTAATGTTTTTATGGAATGATGAATGGTATAAACATTTAGTGTTAGGTATATGATAAAGCTGCATCATGACATCTTAGTTCATAACTACCTCTTGACGTGTAATTAATTGGTTTCCCGCCTAAAAATTTTGCAATGACGTTATGGTACATCTAGGTTCATCTATAGGCATTTGGCCGAATTGTAATGATGATTATTTGTTTCTATTTTTTATTTTTTTTGTAGAGGAATTTTCTTCTTACTTTCCTTCCCTGTTATGGAAATCGGAGCTTTCTTATCATCTGTTGGTGGAGACGTTAGAAATATACCCGTAGGAATAATCAACAACGAAATCAGGGATTGTTCAAATTTTACAAGTAATGGTACCGCAATTCCCTACGATTATTTTTATTGTCACTTTCACAACATGAGTTGTAGATTCTTGTCTTACGTGGATGATCCGATGATACAAAAGGTATTTTTACAATTTGATTACTGTTATTTTGTTATTATTTTTATTGTATTTGTTATTGTATTTTAGATGTATTATCCAACCTTAGAAGACGCCATGTTGGGCGTAAAAAACGGAGAGATAGCCGGGATAATTCATTTGTCCCAAAATTTCACGTATTTTTTCGAAAAGAGATTTGAAGATTTGAGAAACGAGAACAGCGAAATCTTAGATTTGAGTCAGATTAAGATTTGGTTGGATATGTCAAGTAAGTATGCCGACTATATAACATTCAATATCATAATAATCTTCATAATTCATCCTTTACAAGTTAACTGTTGAATTTCCGAATAAATATTTTATATTTCTTATTATTTGGGGAGAAGTTTCTTTTTTATTAAAAATAATATTTATTCAATAAGTTCATTGCCATAATCAGAATGTCGGCAGGATTGTCAGATGCCCCGATTTAGGCGTGATTATCGCGCTTTTCCACTTGCTGCCACGTATCACGCCAAATTCCCCTCTTTTTAAATTCAAATTTATAAAATACAATTTTTCATTTACTTGCACAGATTTTAAGAAATATCTTCTTTCAAAGGATGGCGATAGGTTGTTGCTAAAAATAAAACCGTCTGAGAAGCATTTTTAAAAGCATTGTAAAGGATCTCAAAACGTTGGGTCGATCACTAGTATGGCTAAATTTTTATGGAAACGTCGGTTAAAATCGAGGAGTAAACCACTCCAGAAATACTGGTATGTTTTAACTCGAAAACACTACAAATTTTATCGAAAATTCCAAAATCATCATTAAATAACATCGTAAAAATTAGATTTTAAGTATTCAATAACTTCAAAAGAAAAACTTCTATTTATATTTTCCCTGTATATTACCTAGATTTTACAAAATATGTTTGACTAGGGATTCCTAAATGATGCAGAACATGTTCTAAAAAGTTTTATACACATGACGAAAAGTTTTGTTTTTTCAAAAACCAATTATTCTCGATAAAAAGTTCTGCACCACTTGGGAATCAAGTCTTAATTTTAAATATTTAATAGCTTCCAAAAAAGAAACCTTTATTTATATTTTCCCTGTATACTACACTCTTAATTTCTTCAATAAATCCATCCTTATTAATTAACTTCCAAACAGCCGCAGATGCGAATTAAATTGAGCACCGATTTTTACTACGATAATCGACATCCATAAAATTCAGTCGCTTTTTAAGAACGTCGTAATGAACCCGCTAAGTACCTGTTTCAATGAAACAATGCCCACTTTTTATTGCCTATACCGATACATTTTTCCTCATTTAATCGACAACAGTGACGTTAATCTCATTATCGTTTATTACCTGTCGAACTAACTTAATTTCATTTTGACATTGATGCCGATTGACCTCTTGTTAAATATATGTTTCGTATCGTTATTTATATTTATTTTTCGTTTTGTTTCTTTTTTCTTTTCGGCAAATTGAGTGTCGAGTTGATACTATGCCGATATCCTTGAATAGGGAATGTAATTAGTTGATTGTAGGACCGACCAATTTTCATAAAAAAAGTTGTTTGTTTCCTGCTTCTTCATAAATCTACATAATTAGAATGAAAAACACACGTTTTTATGCCAGTTAACTAATTTAGATAAATGTAAAACTGGTCGGAAAGATTTTTAGTACAACTGGCAAAAAAAGATGTCATTTATTAATTGCTTCATTTATATTATTTCAGTACCTTGTCTAGTTTACTGGATGTAAGAGTTTCTAATGACAGCCCACGTAAAGTTAACTTGACACCCACCCCTTAAATATTAAATGGAAGTCATTATAAAGAGAGCCTTTTGGGCAAATATTTTCCCTAACAATCTTCTAATTTCAAATTGAGTTTTCATTGGGTTTTACTAAACTGGACCCTGATGTTTGCTATAAATATGGCAAAAAAATATACCCGGCGTCCATAGTTAACTATACAGTGATTAAAAGATGTCAATGTGACAGATATTTTCTAATATTTTTTCTAATATTTAATAATAGTTATAAGTTACAATGAATTACAATAATAAATAAGTTACAATAATGGAAACCAAGTATATAATAAAACTTGAACAATTTCAACAATTTGTATATTTTCAGGGTTACTCACATTGTCTCTGACCTTTACCTTCTGTTGTCTGTGTGTCAAATAATTTTCAAAAACCTTCAACACGATGCCCCTCACTCCATTCTGTTCAAGAACATTTAAGAGCTTCTGATGTGGCACCGTGTCAAATGCTTTTGCTAGATCTAGAAATATAGCTATACACTTGTTACCAGTATTCATTTCATCAGTAACATATGAAATCAATTCATGCATAGCATCTTCTGAGTTAAGACCCTCAGTAAAGCCATATTGGTGCTTGGGAAGTAAGTCATTAGTTTTTAAAAAATCTGTCAGTCTCTCCTTCATAGATTTCTCAAATATTTTTGCCACATTACTAATTAAACTAATAGGTCTATAGTTAGTTATTAATTTTGGATTACCAGCTTTATAAATAGGTGTTTAGAATTAATTAAACCATTTGTTATCCATGGTTTTATTTTTTTTATGTATTTTAATTTTAATATTTTGAGTGGTTTGACATGTTTCAATGATATTAAGATACGTGTCATAAACAAGTTGTGTTGCAATTTCTGGATTATTTTCATTGCAAACACTTTCCCAGTTTACAGTTTCGAATTTTTGTTTTAATTTATCATTATCGATTTTAGTTATAGTTTTATATGTATTGTAGGAACTTGTGTAGTTTTTGGCAGATTGTGAGATATTTATCATAATAGGATCATGATCAGTCATATCATAGCTGATTACATAAGAGTTCACCGATAGATTTTCAGTCTTAATATTATTTTTTAAGAATATATGATCCAAGCATGTTTTACTTTATGGCCTTGTAATAATGTTTAAGTAAGACATGAAACCATGGGAGTAAAAAGTTGCTTGGTAATCAGTAGTTACTTGATTGGTTACATTTAGGAGATCAATATTAATGTCTCCTATGAATATTTCGATATTTATATTTAGGTGATATGGTATGAAATTTTCTAAATACCTTATAAATGCTTGTGCAGAGGTTTGAGGAGACCTGTATACACCTGTAATGCCAATAGTCCGATGATTGACTTTTAGATTTATTTTAGTGACACAAATATCAGAATATTCCAGTTTAACTATATTTAATTCTGCATTTAGATTTGACCTGACCAAAATTACAACACCATCATTTCTGTTAATGTTATCATTGTTATAGTGGGTGGAGAAGCCATCTAGGTTAAATTGAGAAATAGATTCTAATTGGAAACATTCAGTCAAAACTATTATATCACAATAATTAATTTTATAACTTTCTAGAAATACTAACAACTCATCAAAATTCTTTTTAATACTCCTAATATTGAAATGTAAGACATTTAGGAGTTTTTCATTTAAATTAATTTTATTTGTTATATTAGCAGTATCAACGACTTCATTAATCGAATCAATTTGAATAGAATTTAATAGATTATTTTCTTGATTAATAATCATGAACTATTTGAATGTGTGTACAAATATTAGTTACGTTATGTTATTGATCTGTATACTCGGTCTTATTTTGCAATACCATTTGATGATATTTCAAAGAGGGACAAGTCAAATCCAGTGCAGAATGGTTGTAGTCGTACTCAGTTTTATATTTTTCGTTAGAAGTTTTACAGTTCTTACAGTGTATTTTATTCTTTGGACACATGTTCTTCACTACAGATGTGGCACACGATTGCATTCTTACAGTTTTCTTTTTTATGGTAGAAACCTTGACATTTAAAACATCTGGGTATCTCCAAATCTTCATAAACCGGAAGTCTTTCCCATCCTATACATATTTTTTTTTCCTTTATATCAATTGTTTAAATGCAGTTCCTGAACATTGACAGTATACAGTATTAAAGCCTCTTTTCGTTTTTCTGATATATGTGGTTTTTATTTCACCTGTTATGTCATTCTGTTTCACAATGGACTTGTCAATTTCTTCCTTGGTCATATTCTCCGTAAAATTGCAGATTTTCATTCTGGGTCTTCTCATTTTTGTCAGATCTACATCATATGAATCTTTTAATTTATCTTGAACAGCTTTTTGCAGAATTTCAGCTTCTTTTTTTGACAGGAAATTATAATGGAACCATTCCTTCCCATCTTTAATTGTTTTACTCCAACTCTTAAGTCAGTTAGGTTAATATTTGTTCCTAAATTTGTTTTTGTTTTGTTTCCACTCTGTGGTATTTTCGGTTTAATAATAATTTTTGGAGGGTTAGGTTTTCGTTCATTGTCTTCTTTTTGTAACTTCACCATATCAGCATAAGCAATGGTAGGTACAATATTTATCTCTTTTTCTTCAAATTCTTTAATTTTCTCTTGAATAATTTTTATTATTTCATTTTACTATTTATTATTTCATCTTTACTTCTTATTATTTCATCCTTATCTTCATTAGTCTTCTTTAGAAAATTAGTCAGTTCATAATTCCTACATTTTGCACAATGCAATTTCAGAATTCTAGTGCGCAGTGGTATACACCTAATTTCTGTGGTTGATAATTCAGAAGATTGGTTGCAGTATAATCTTCGGCATCCATCACATGTAGAGCATGGATATTTTTGTTCTTTTGTAGGCTGATGAATAACCTCACACTGTGAGCATTTCATTGCCATTTTTCTTATTAAATCATTTTCTTATTTTATAAACTAAATGCGGGTACGCCACTGGATATTCTATTTGTATGATTGCTTAGTAGAAAGTATTGGTGTTTATTTTATTTCACCTAAACTTTTTTGTCATCTGATAAGGTTTGGTACTTTTTTGCGTTTTCTGTTTCCTTGGTAGATTTTATTTCGGTGAAATTGCAGAGATAATGCATTAATCTATGCAACTGTGACTCACCTAACAGTTTATTTACTGCACTATACACATTTTATTTAATTCACTAGTTTTTTTTATATTTATATCGGTAGAAATATAGATTTATTTGCGCAGTGAAACAAACACGTCTTCTCACCTTGAATGATCGATTATCTTCTAAATTTAATCCAAACTAAAACTATGTACAGTGACATATTTTATAATTTTATTATAAAATTTACTACTGAGTTCTGGTTAGAAACTGCTTTGACCCAGTGGGCACTGAACTACTTAAGTTTAATTTAATGAAGAAATATGAACTTAAATAATTGAAAAAACTTGGAGATCTTTAATTTTAACAAATTTTAATCGCTGTAAATTAAAATAAATTTATTCTAGTAATTAAATCACTAATAAAATTAGTTTTCAAATTAACTAATACGTTTATAAATTTATGACATACTTTTAAAATTTAATTTATATTTCTAGACATAATTAATTTTTTTCAGATTATCAAATTGGAAGTTCGTTAAAATACAAGCTGGTACAAAAATACAACGATTTCCAGGACGCCGTATTGACAGAATGCGGTTTTGATTTGAAATTATATCACGAACCGCTGAGGATTGACAACTTCTATGTAGGTTCCAATAAACATGAACCATTCATAATATTTATGTTGCCTGGCATTTTAATCACGTGAGTATTACAAAGAAATGTGTGCCTAGGTGGGGTATATATTTTATAAATTAAAAAAAGCATTTACAAAGACGTTGAAGAATGTCCCACAACATTTTTAGCGTTATTATTAATTATTATCAATGAAAAATTACAAAAATACTTTTATTAAAATGTAAGAAAGATAATAATAGATTCGCTGATAACTGGTTCAGTTACAAAATAATTAAAAAAATAGAATAATTAAATAAAGGCTTCACCAAGGCCGTAGCCAGGGGGGATCAATCCCCCTTGATCAAGAAAATATGACGTTGAACGCTACCTACCTAAGCCCGACCATACAAAATGAACTTATTGCAATTTGTGGTGAAATAATCCAGAAAAAAATTGTGCAAGGATTAAATTCTGCGAAATTTTTTTCAATCCTTGTTGACGAAACTACTGATATTTCACGATAAGAACAGATGCCCATTTGTCTAAGATATTCCGAGCCAAAAGATAATGGGTTTTTCTTGCGTGAAGATTTTTTAACTTTTGTAACAGTTGAGAATATATTTAGCTAATTCAATTTTATCTGAATTAAAATCTTTGGTAGTAGATTGCGAATATTTAGTCGGCAAGGATATGATGGAGCTTCTTCGATGAAAGGAAGTTTTAAAGGTGTGCAGGCAGTAATTCGTGAGTCACATCCAGAAGCCTTATACGTTCATTGCAGCTCACATTCAAGCCTATTCGAAATACAATTGGAATTATAAAATCGATTGAAAATTTTATCAAGTCCTCGGCAAAACGAACCAAGTGTTTAAAAGATAATATCGAAAAAACTTCCCTGTAATACAATGGAAAAACCTTACGGCAATGTAAGAGATCCGCTGGGTAAAAAATCATGATGAGTTGTTGAGATTTAGAGAAATTTATAAAGCTATTGTTAATACACTAGACGACTTAAGCATTGACATGGATTCTGAAATATCGTTAAAGGCTAATTCTTTTCTGAGATCTGTCATTTCAAGAGATTTTGTTATAAGCTTATGTTGCTTAGGAATGTTGTTCCCGTACACACTGACACTATGCAAAATACTTCAATCGCAAACTACAACACAAAAGATCCTGAAACTTATTTTAGAATTACTATAATGATTCCACTTTTGGACGATTTCATTGATCAGCTTCAGTCGAAATTCCAAAATCATAAAGCCACATTATCATCTCTCAACATTTTAATTCCGTCTGTGTGTTGCAAAGAACAAATTAATCAAAATTATCAAGAAAAATACTTTGAGCTCTATAAAAAATATTTGGAATGGGACTTTGTAAAAGCTGAATTAGACATGTGGCGGAAAAAATGGGTGGAAGAATCTGAACTAGATCGACCAACATGTGCTATTAAAGCTCTCGGAGAATGCAACCAGGCCTTATTTTCAAACATTCACAAACTTTTAAAGATCTTGGCGACACATCCTGTTTCTACATGTACTACTGAGAGGACTTTCTCTTCTATGAAACGCCTCAAAACTTATTTGAGAAACTCCACAGGTCAGGAAAGACTAAATGGTTTGGCGTTAATGTCAATCCACCGCAGAATTGACATCGACACCGAGGAGGTAATTGATTTGTTAGCTGCAAAGAAAACTAGAAGACTATATTGGTTTTCTAATAAATATATATGATAAGTAACATCATTTTATTTATTTTATTAAAACGATTTTATTTTTTTCTACTGTTCCACCAAATCAAACCCCTCCGAAATTATTTTCTAGCTACGGCCTTGGGCTTAACTAGAAAGTAGTAACTGTAAATATTCAAAAAACACTTAATTTACCATGCAGCTGTACAGCTTCTGTTCTTTATGAATTTACTATATTTACTATATAGATAAGTTATTTTTTACTTCACCAATAAAAAATTGAAGTATTTAGGATTTAGATTCCAAACTAATTAAGGTACTGCTTTCAAAATTTAAAGAAATATCAACAAAAACTGTAGAAACATATTTTTTGAATACTCCATTTTAAAATTTCAACAAGTTTTGGAGTTACAGGGTGTCGAATTTAAACTTGAATTTTTTAACAATTTTACATTGTTGTATTTATTTCATCACTATTGTCAAACTAATTATTTTAGAAACTTAAAAATTTCAGGAAGTATTAACAAAAACTGTAGAAATATATTTCTGAAAACCACATTTTAAAATTTCAACAAGTTTTGAAGTTACAGTGTGTCAAAGTTAAACTTGGATTTTTTGACATTGTTGCTTTTGTTTCACCACTATTTCCAAATTAACTAATTTACAAATATTAAAATTTAAAAAAATATTAACAAAAACTGTAAAAACATACTTTTTAAGACAATATTTTAAAATATCAAAAAGTTTTGAAGTTACAGGATATCAAAAATGAACTTACATTTTTAACAATTTAACATTGTTGCCTATTTCCAAATTAATTAATTTGCAGACTTCAAAATTTTATGAAATATTAACAAAAATTGTAGAAACATATTTTTGAAAACCAAATTTTGAAATTTGATCAACTTTTAAAGTTACAGGGTGTCAAAGTTAAACTTACTTTCTTTATCAATTTGACATTGTCAGTATTACTATAATTATTTGTTGTTAATGTAAAAATAATTTAATACTATTAGCACTACAATTTTTAATTTTTGTTTTGTAGAATCCAATTTTTCCTGGGAGCAGTAATGACTTCCCAGATAATAATAACTGACAGACACGACGGAGTTTGGGACAGATCCATAGTAGCGGGTGTTACTTCGATGGAAATCACACTCAGTCATTTCATCCTACAACTTGCCCTTTGTGTCATACAGACGATCGAATTGATGTTTTGCACGTTCGTTTTGTACCAACTGGAATACATCGGGAGTTTATCTTTGATGTTCCTGCTGGTGTTTTCGCAGGGCGTGTGCGGAATGGCTTATGGTAGGTATGAATAGGTACTATAGGTCAATTATTAGTTAAAGGAAAGGCAATATGATCAATTTGAAATAAAGGAAAATGAGAAAAACTCAAAAACAGTTCCCCTCTTCAAAATAATTACTTCTTCGGCTAATATTGGGCTGGTATTAAAATTTATCATATTGTTGCCTTTATTTCATCACTATTTCCAAACTAAATTATTTAGACTTCAAAATTTAAAAAACTATCAACAAAAAATGTAGAAACATATTTTAAAAGCCCAAAGATAGAAATTTTATAAAGTTTTGAAGTTTCAGGGTGCCAAAGTTGAACTTTTAACAATTTAACATTGCTACCTTTGTTTCATTATCATTTTTAAACTAATTGGTTTATAAAATTTAAAATTTAAAGAAATATTAACAAAAAGTGTAGAAATATATTTTTAAAAACCACATTTTAAAAATTTTAGAATTATTAAAGTTACAGGGTGCTAAACTTGAGCTTGGAGTTTTTAACAATTTGACACTGCTGCCTTTATTTCAACACCATTTTTAAACTAATTGGTATATAGATGTCAAAATTTAAAGAAATATTAACAAAAAGTATAGAAACATATTTTTAAAAATAGCATTTTAAAATTTTAGCAAATATAGAAGTTACAGGGTGCTAAAGTTGAACTTGGATTTTTAACAATTTTACATTGTTGCCTTTATTTCATCACCATTTTTAAACTAATTGGTCTATATACTTTAAAATTTAAGAAAATATTACCAAAAAGTGTAGAAATATATTTTTAAAAACCACATTTCGAAAAATTTAGAATTATTATCTAAAGATTTAAAAAAATTAAAAAAATATTAACAAAAAGTGTAGAGATATATTTTTGAAAACCACATTTTAAAATTTCAACAAGTATAGAAGTTATAGAGTACTAAAGTTGAACTTGGATTTTTTAACAATTTGACATTGTTGCCTTTGTTTCATCACCATTTTTAAACTAATTGGTCTATAAACTTAAAATTTAAAGAAAATAATTATCTTTTTCAAATAATTTTTCTGAAAAAACTCAAAATTAATAAAGAATTAATAAAATCTGCTTTTTCTCTTTTATTATAATGTAATGCCTGTTGTGTTATAAGTAGCAGTTGCTTTTTGCGAATAAAAATTTTGTTTCAGGTTTCTTTGTTTCTGTAATCAGCACCGATCACACAATGGCAAATGTAGTATTAACTGGTTTATATCTTCCAGTCAACCTTTTAAGTGGTAAGATTTCGTTTTACTGCATTTAAAGTTGTTTATCACGTTTTTTTTTTTAATTTAGGTTGGATGTGGCCAGTAGAAGGCATGGTATACGGTTTGAGAGTATTAGCCAGATGCCTACCGTTAACAGTGGCTATAGAATCTTTTAGAAACATTTTCAAAAAAGGATGGGATTTGAGCTACATCCAAGTACTCGATGGGTTCCTGATCGGCATTGTCTGGACCATTTTCTTCGGACTGCTTAGTGTGTATTTAATTTCTAAGAAACGCTAAATAAATTGAATAAATCCATTAGTGTGGAATAATTTGAGTATCTCTGACACTATGAGATAATAAAAAATATTATAGAAAGGTAATATTTTGAAATTATCTTCAATAATTTCAATCTGGAATTAATTTATGTTTTTTTTAATTGACCACCCTGTATTTTATTTAATATTAGAAATCGCGTTTCAACAATACCAAATAGTATGGGATTACACAGGGTATTTCACATGCTATAACCAGTTTTATATGAAAATCGTATTGGTAATGGGGGTGATTATCCTCAAGAATTTTTAAACCTTACGTTTTATAGCCACTAAAATGTATTATTTTCAAAAATAAGGTCACAAATATTACCATTACCTTCCTCCAGACTTAAACTTTATTACTTCCACTATCCCCTTAGACTTATACTCTTGATGCGCCACTGCTCTCCAGAGTTGAGGCTGTGGTTGAAGCTAATTTTTAATTATTACTATGTCAGAGTGACAGCCCACAATCTATATAGGATGTATTCTGCAGAGCTTATTGTCCTACAAAATATATACAGGGTAAGTCAAAACTTGAATACCTCGTTTTCTTTTTTTTTTATTTAAATTATCCACCCAATATTTTTTATCATAATTGAAAAGTATAGTATTTTCATGTATACAATTTCTCTTATATATAGACATAATATTTATATTTAATTACAAAATATACAGGGTGTCCCGAAATTAGACGGTCTTATTTTAACAGCGTAATCTACATCCTAAAATAGGAATAAAAGTTTATACAAGCATAGGTCCGAAAACGTTTCGTTTTTGAGATACAAGGTGTTTCAAGTGAAGTCCTGATGGCATATTTTTGTAAATATTTTCTAAAATTTCTTTAGTCACCGGTTTTCCAAAGTAAAAAAAAATAAAATATCTGATTTCACATGCCTACTAATTATTGTTTATACTTTCGAATAAGACTTATCATGAAATTTTCAAATGCTTTTTTCTTGAAAATGGTGCGTCCTAGCAAGATGCAAGAAAAGTAGCTTTATTATAAAGAAAACATTGGTTTTCCAAATCTTGTAGTCAAAAATATTAAAAACTGCCAACAAAAAAAACTTAGGGCAATTTTACCCTAAGCCCCTCCCCCTAATTTATTCACCTATGAAGATGATCAATAACTGGGGTTCAATCCATTAAATAGAGCGTAAAAAGGTAAGCATTTGTACCAAATTTCACTTAATTCTCTTTAAACGTTAGGAAAATATTTACAAAAGAGTGTCATCAGGACTTGACTTTTAACACCCTGTATCTCGGAACAGAAACGTTTTCGGACCTATGTTTATATGAACTTTACTCCAATTTTAGGATGTAGATTATGCTGTTAAAATATCACCGTCTAATTTCGAGATACCCTGTATTTCCCTAACTTTTGAGTTTTAATGCTTTTTTATAAAAATTAATTATTGAAACTTTTATTATCATCTGACATTTACAATAATTATTTATATCACAAAAAAAAAGATCAAAATCCCGTCAAAACAATGATAAAAACTTCTTATCTTAATAATATACAGTGTGATTAATATTCTATCCATCACATACTTCAAAATTTGAAAAATCTGAGGTGTCGACTATGCTCAAAATTTAATCAGCCCACTGCAGGATGGATTAAAATTCAAGTTTTGAATTTGGTGTTTTTCCCTTTATCTGTTTTTGAATTATCTTCAAAATTCACAATTTGCACTTTTCTCAAATATCTCGATCACGGTCCATTTTAGGAAAATCATGTATAGAAAAAAAATTATAAAGAATGACTTCACTAGCAACTTTTATTTGACAAATTTTAGTACACCCCAGATGTTCCGACTATGCCCAAAATATAATCATCTTTTCGCAGAATGGATTAAAGCTTAAATTTTGAGTTATCTTTAAAATTCTAAATTTGTACTTTTTTTCAAATATCTCGAATCCGGTCCAATTTAGAGAAATTATGTATAGGACAATAATTGAGATCGATATAACAAACAAATTTTGAATTTGGTGTTTTTTTCTTTATGCGTTTTTGAGTTAGACATGAATCTATATTTACTTTCGTTTTCCCACTTTAATCATATACAAAATAACAAATAGCCATTTCAACCGTTCGAGATCCATCAAAATATTTGTATTGACCATCTTTAATACTAAAGTTTCGTTAGTTTCTTCTTACAGAGATACAGGTTTTTTGGTATGTCAATTTATTTCAACTCAACTTTTACAAACTATACTATAACGTCTATCATAAAACTTCTGTTAAAAAGGTAAGTGTGGAAGTGTTTGAGGGCTTTGACAATAGCTAAAAGTTCTTTTCCTGTGACGCAATAATTCTCAGCTTTTCCTAAGGTCTTACTGAAATACGCAATTACTTTCTCTTCCTCTCCTGTTCTTGGGATAGCACGGCACCCACGCCGTATTGGGATGCGTCGCAGTCTAAAATAAATTGTCCTTTTTCCCGAGGGTATGCTAGGATGGGTGCCGTGGTCAATCGTTTTTTTAACTCGGTAAAGGCATTTTGACAATCCGGCGTCCAGTCAAATAGATTACTATTTTCAGTTAGTCGATGAAGTGGTTTAGCAATTTGACCAAAGTCTTTGACGAATTTTCGGTAATATGAACACAGTCCAAAAATACTTCTAATTTCTCTTTTGTCTCTTGGCTTCGGCCAATCTCAAATAATAGGCTTCCGACTGGAACAGTGAACATTTATTGTGATTAAGCCTTAGATTGGTATATAGAAGATGTTCGTCAAAACGTTTTGACATGATTATTATGTCATCGAGCTATTTTAGACAAGTTTTCCAGGTTAATCCTTTCGTAACCATTTCCATTAGTCGTTCAAAGGTAGCTGGGGCATTACAGAGACCAAACGGGAGAACCTGGAATCTGTATAATTTGCTACTAGTTGAAAAAGCAGTTTTATCTCGATCGTCAGGATGTACTTCTACTTGTCATTATCCGCTCTTCAAGTCTAGCGTGGAAAACCATTTTGCACCCGATAGAGTGTTTAGTGTGTCATCTATTCGGTGGAGTGGATAGATGTCTTTTTGCATTATCTGATTTAATCTTCTATTGTCTACACAGAAACGAGTAGATCCGTCTTTCTTAGTTAATAGGACCACAGGTGAGCACCAGGGACAAGAAGCTTCTTCAATAATATTTGCATCCATCATGTCCTGTATTATATTTGCTACTTCTTTTTGCTTAGCAAATGGAAGTCTTCTAAGTGCTTGTTATTGGCCTTGCATCGCCTGTATAAATTCTATTCTAAACAAGACTAGTACAGCCCGTAGATTTTCCTGTCTTGAAAATGTCAATCAATTCTTTGATTTTTCTAAATTCTTCAGCTGTCACGAAGTCATAATTTTTAACTAGCTGTTTTACAAAGCTGGCGTCAACTGAATTACCTGTGGTGGCTTTCCCCGTGGAACGGTCTTCGCACTTGATTATGTTTTTTCCACGGGTGTATAGAGCCCTGTTGCTTGTCCTTTCTTTAGTTTGACAGGTCTCTTCGATAAATTTGCAACCCTAACTGGAATTAGTTGATCAACGTTAACCAGAATTCTATCACTCACAGATTCTTCACTATCTACAATGCTCACATGTAAACCGTGTGATTTCTCGCCGAGACAACAGCTTCAGAATTTTGGAGTACTTCTATGCCTTTTTCCACTAGGACCTTTATCGGTTAAGTATTTTCTTTCGAATTTAGGACAATGTCGTCGTTTCCATTTCCATCAAGATCTTGTTTTGAAGGTCGATGATAAACCTATTTTGCATACCAAGGACACACTGATCCTTTATCGGCCACCAAAAATAAGTGTTCTATCACTGTAAGGTAAGCCGTATAAATTGATATACATATCACTAAATTTTTTGAATACGGTTCTGTCTAGATGAGATATCACAATCTCTGTGAGCACGAGTAATTTTTTGTATAATTGTTTCTTCGCTAATTACTAACTAATTATTATACTTCCATTGTTTGCTGCCAAAATTTAAATAACAAAAAAGATAGTTTTGAAAATAATTTAATTTTAATTGAACACTTGTTGATATAAAATACACTGTTTTTTAATTGGTAATTACAATTTAACCAGCTGTAATTTATTATCGACTGAATAAGTTTCTGACAATACCTAATGTGATGTTTATATTCAATAAAAAAAGAAGAAAAAATATTAATTACAAACTATACATAAAATTTATTAAATATTATTTCTATAGATTTAATTTAATTAAAAAAATTATTTTCTATTAAAGGTTAATATAAAAACTGGCGAGACTTTTTAAAAACAGATATTAGAACACTATTAGACATTAATAATAACAAACTGTCAGTATTGGATTTTTTCAAAGTTAACTTTAAAGTATAATAAACATAAAATAAATTAGGTATTATACAGGGTGTTTCTAAATTCATGCGACAAAATTCAGGAGGTGATTGCTAGTATGAAATTAGGATGGGTCTTTCCTGTAACAAAATTTCTTCAGCCCACCCCTTTCCGAGATATCACCCTTAAAAGGTGGTAACTAAAATGGAGTTTTTATTTTTTTGGTAAAATTTTATTTTGGCTAGAGGTGGTCATTTCCAGCATTTATTATGAATCGTATTACATTTTATAAAACTTCATCTCGAAAAAAAGTTTTGATATGAAATAAAGTAAGGGTTGCTAATTTCACCCCCTTAATGTAACAGGAATATTGAAAAAATACCCGTGGTTAGTCCTTTGCGCATGCACGAAAATACAAAATTTCAAGTTTCTAGCTTTACGGAAATTTAAAAAAAAATAAAAGCTCAATTTTAGTCACCACCTTTTAAGGGTGATATCTCGGAAAGGGTTGGGCTGAGGAAATTTTGTTATAGTAAAGATCCATCTTAATTTCATACGAGCAATCACCTCCTGAATTTTGTCGCGTGAATGTAGAAACACCCTGTATATGATACTATAAAAAGAAGGTATGATATTACGCAGATTGATACTACCCGTCACGGTGACGTAATGTGGTGGGGTGGAAGGCGTGGCTTTTACGAATTTGACGTATGAGCTGATCGAAAACAGCGAAATAAATTATAATCAGTTAATGGCCAATCAGATAACTATATTCCACACCACAATACGTCATGCGCAAATTCGACGAGATTTCGTCGGCTAAGTATCATACTGTCATTTTTTGTATCATGATTACTAATTGGTAATTATTTTTTATTGAATGAAAAAGATCTATTAGAAATTGTTAAAAAGTTTATTCAAACGATAATAAATTGTCAAAAACAATCAATTTCCTATTAACCAGTGACTAGTTAAAATTTATGAAAGCGTAGGACAGCCACTTTGATTTTTTTTAATGTCGAGCAGACATTTATACGCACAGACGACTTGAGTGATCAGAAATGTACAGAAAAGTATTAAAAAATGAAGGTACGAAAATTTTTTTGTCGGCATACGAATGCAGTGTGGTACTTTTGAATACTGACTTAAAGTTAAAAAAAAATAATTATTTTTTAATTACCCTATACAGATTTGTTGGATATATAACTTATTAAATACTCTGTATAATCCCATACCATTTGGTGTTGTTATAATGGGAAAAGATGGAGTAATTCAAATATAACATAAAATACAGGGTGGTCCATTAAAAAAAAAACATAAATATGTTTCATACTAAAGTAATTGAATACACTGTACATATTTATCATGTTCTGTATAAACATGTTTTTTTTATATGCCTAAGTGTCTGGACTTTTTTCACACTATGGGTTACCCGATATGTTTAAAATATTTTATTTTTTTATATTTATGTAATTTAATAAAAAGATGCTTTTTCATACATTAGGCTTTTATTTTCAAATACTGGTACTGTATTACAGGCCTGCAGATGGCCCTGTGAGGGCGATACTATATAGGCGCTCCTGTGTTTATTTATAATAAAATTGATGTAGTATTGATTTTAAGATTTTATTCTTTAATTAAAAAAATTATACCTTTACTACATTGATTTTTTTTTATTTTTTGCATTAGACACATTTATAAGACAGTATATTTTAAAAATAGTAAAATTAGCGAATTTTTTAAGTTTTTATTACATTTAAAAAGTTTGGACAATGCGTGTTCTTAGAAAGAAATGATACGCCACTGAACCAGGTGTCGAGAACATAACAATGGCTTACAAACTCTATTTAACGCTTCCTCTAGTAGAAATTGATCGGAGTTACTGATTATTAAGAAGAATGAAATGACATATGACAGAATTGCTGGATAATAAATTTTTGGAAAAGAGATAGTGTTGCGAGCTAGTGGATTTTTCGTAGGTACTTACTTTCCAAGTCTTGCAAGGAAGAAAACCCCGTCCTTGAACTATGGACGGTTCGTGTAGCAGAAGAATTCTGGGTTTTGCATGTACCTTCACTGATGTTGAATTTAAAAATGTACCTTCCATTAATTTTTATTTAAATCTTGGTAAACTTTAATATAAACTTTAACATTTGTGAACACTGTTTTTAATCTACTAGTTTACATAATATTTTGTAAATAAACGTTGGCTTTTAACATCTCGCAAGAAATAAATTGAAAATTGTTGTTTACTGTTCAGCAGTGAGAAAGATTATAGTCTGTAGACCGAAGCTTTGCACTTGGCTAACTGTTACGTGAATTACGGTCTTGAATTTCTATTGGCCGATACAACATTGTATAATCTTGGTGGGAGAGGCAACATTGCTTGCTAAATCATTTCGAACATTTTATTTGCTTACTTTAATGAGAGTGACGGAAATAGGCTTATTTATATAAAGAGAGAGATGTGGTTTAAATTATTAAGAGATAGAAACCTATTTTTTTAACGGTTTTTGTTACTAGGCGAATTTTTTTTGAGGAGCTCAAAGCTTGATGTTTGTTGGTGAGATGAATCTATATGTATTATATTGTTTTTAATGTGATTAAAACATGATTTTTACTTTATTTTATTAAATGAGGCAATGCAAACTATGGATTGAATAATGAACTATGCTGTTATTTTTATTTTGTCTTTTTATAAGAGTAACTGACGTAACTTTAAAAAAATGCTCGTTATTTATGAACAGGTAGGATCGAATGTTAGTTACAATTATAAAGAATTGACAGAATATGAAGCTAGAAGGTAGGAAATGCTACAAGCAAATTTTTCAAAAATTCAAAATGGTATTACTGGGCGTGGCTAATATAGTAGCAATTTGGCCGTCCTACGAGGACCGGACTATTGGAAATTCAAGCCCAACCATCATCTGCTTTTATAAAGAGATGTAAGTAACAATTAATTGTTATTTAATGGATAATTAAGGTTATAATAACTGATTTTCGATAAATATATTCATTATAACAGTTTTGAAATAAATTTCAAGTAACAAAAAATAAATGGTACTAGTGAAGAAGGTCTTATCTTACATAGTATGTAGTCATTCACAAAAAATGTCTCTAAAATAGGCCTTGGCCTTGGAAAAATTTACTTATGTCGAAACATACAATTTTTCTTTTTGTATTATCATGACCTAGTTTAGAAATATTCTTTGTGGATCACTCTTTTTTTAATTTATTGCAATTCTTTAAAGAGTCATTGGGTTTGCTTATTTAAATTCTACAAATATTTTCTAAAATGAAAATATAAATAAAATAGTTGGATTTCTATTACAAAACTATTGCTTATTAATCATTATTTATAGAAAACAATAAAAATATTGTTATTTATTATATATAATAAATAAATGTATTCACTGACATTTTATTTTTTTATTGAAACAAATAAATCATTATAGACCGGGAGTTAATGACAGAAATTTCCGGGTCATTTTCGAAAGTTTAATTTTTTTTATATGAGTTATGCAAGTAATGTGTAACTCTAACATGAACGTCATCCGATGCACCCTTGCGACAGGGGGTTGCAGAAGGGTTGCAATTACAGTAAAAAAATTAAAAAAAATCATTTTCGCATGCATGAAACTTGTTGTACACCTTAATTTAAACAAATAAAGTTTAGAAAATATCGTCTTCCACCTGAATTTCATGACAGAGTACGTCTTCCACCTATCTAAATAAGCAAAAAAAAAATGAAAAAAAAATTATATTCGCAAAGCTGAAATTAAGGGTGATGCTTATTTTTGTAATAAGAAAACTAATAATAATAGTCTTCCATCTATACAATATAACAAAGGTCGTCTTCCAAGCTGATACAGGTTGCGCGTCACATGCGGCACGTGCTAGTTATAAATTCCAAAACGGGAACTTTTATTTTTAAAAATTTTATTAAGACGGATATTTAAGACAACTCTGGACTAAAGCCTACACTAAAGCTACCTCAAATAACAATAATAATAAGGTTTTACTTCTATTTATAAACTAAAATATGATTATTAAGCAGAGATAATCTAATTATAATATAAGAGAGTCTATTATGTTCACAATATACAGGGTAGCTGTTAAAGATGGAACCAAACCTATAGTGTATAAACGGTTCAACATACAAAACCCAAAATTTCAGAATTTCAACTAAATATAATTGCGCATATTTTAGTCCAAAAATTATTTTTTTTTATAATTACAAAATTTTAAACATGGCCGCCATCTTGATTTTTTAAATAGCAACATAGGTCATGTGATATACCACTTGAAAGGGATTAACACCCTGATTACAAAAATGTATCACACGTGGGGTCTAAACACAACAGAAAGGATATTAGTATTAGAGAGCGTAGGAGGCTGTGCATTTGACACAAGACGTCAAATACACACATTTTTCTAATCAGGGTGTTAAACCCTTTCAAATGGTATATCACATGACCTATATTGCTATTTAAAAAAATCAAGATGGCGGCCATGCTTAAAATTTTGTAATTATAAAAAAAATAATTTTTAAGCTAAAATATGCGCAAATATATTTAGTTGAAATTTTAGGTTTTGTATGTTGAACCGTTTAAGCACTATAGGTTTGGTTCCATCTTTAACAGCTACCCTGTATAACTCCTCCCTCCTTAAGTTTTGAAAAATATGGAGTTATTTTTCAAAACATCTCTGGGATTTTCTAATTCAATTTCTTTTCTTCTATATCTTCTTAAAAGTCGTCTTCTGTATTTAATTAGTATTAAAATAATTATGCAAATAAAAATGACAAAAATTGTTCCAAAAGTGCTTGAATAATTAAAATTATTTTGAATTTCTTCAATTGGCTTTAATTGTTTAGAAATTTGGTTAATTTCATATAAATCATTAAAATCTAATTTAGTTATATTAGAAGTTTGAATTTTCTTTATGTCGATCTTCGGTAGAATGAATGGCTTTCCTCTGCTTAGTTGAATGTTGTTGATATATCTTCTTTCATTAGTCCAAATTTCACAAGATTTTGGTATCTTAATTATTACAGGTTACTGTTACATTTTGAAAGAATTTGTTCAGGTTTTGACGGGATTATTAAGACTTCATCGACTGCGATTTGTTCGAATACTGATTCTTTTAAATTAACATTTAAAATTAGACAATTTGTCAAAACTTTTCTTTCAAGAAGTTGTAGAGTACAATTATCTCTGGGGATAAAATTCTGTTGACAATAATAGATTTCTTCAAGGGATGGACATTCTTCTCGATAAAACTGTGTATCTTGATATTTTCGTGCCAAATAGGGTAATAAAGGTGTATACATTTTTTGTTTTTGGATAATTGGGAATAAATGATAAAATTCAAAGGTATTACTTTCAAAAATATAAAAATGTATTGCAAAAATTAACTAAGATTCTGAAATTGATACTTGCATTCATAATAACTGTTAATACGTTAATAAATTTGTAAATTTCGGAATTTGATCAACATTATATATTTTATGTAAATATTTTATCATGTTTCTGAGCTGAAAACTATAGAATTATGTAAAGTATTTAATTTTGGAAAGGTTATGGCATTTTCTAAATTATCTATAAAAGAAATTGGCATATGCCAATCTAAATCAATTTGTGATACAATGACCCGAAAACTAATATAACTTCTATCCTATGGATATCCAGCAAAATATCTAATCGGTATCTCCCAGACAATACAAGAAATCCCAGAGATATCCACAATATATATTTTGTGGATATCAATATATCCAGTGGATCTAATATGGATATCCAAATGTCCGTCTATATCCTAGGATATAGAAGATATTCTATGGATATTCTACAAAATATTTTATAGGTATCTTTAGTAGAGGTTCATAAGTAACCAATGATTATTGAAAAACGTCGAAAAAAAATAGCAGAGATAGAAAATATTTTCAACACTCTGCCTTTGATTTTGCCCACTAAGGAGAAAGTCATCCTTATTAGGACTCTTCAGCAATAAATAGAAATTCTTGACTCCAGTCTCTAATGGAGTCTGATTGCAATACCAATTTCGATCGAACTCAATTACGGCGGATTGAGCATGAGTAGATATTCAACGAGCGAAAGTGGTATCGCCATCTATACTTAGTAAGCAAAATCAAAGATCGCTGTAGTACCTAGTTCAGAGACTAGATGGAATAAAAGCCAGGCGGGCTATTCTTAAAAAAGGAAATAATTCTAGTCCTAATAAGGACGAAACCGGCCCAAGAATGATTTTCTTCTTAGTGGGCAAAATCAAAAATTACATCTAGTGGTTTGGTTTGAGTTCGCGCCTAGACTTTGATATATTTAGTGGATGTCCATGGGATATTGAATACACCTTAAAAAAATTAATTTTAAATATCTAAACGGTACTATTAGCCACAATGACGTAATTTTTTAATAATTTGCTATATAATTACTATTATTTATGGACATTTGCATGTCTATAAATTACATCTCATGGATATAAAATAGATATGCACCATGGACTGGACATTCAGTGGATATTGGGATGTCCAGTAGATATCCAAAGGATTTGGTGTACTGTCTGGGTAGCTGCTTAAATTTTTTCTATATCAACTTTAAATAATACTTGATTTTTGCCTAGGATTGTGATTGATTTATTATAATGATCAACAAGCCTTTTGTACAATGAAATTTGAAGATTTGTTTCACTGATAATATTTTTTTGATTTACTTGCAATGTTTTGATAGCATTATTATATATTTCTTCGTCATCAGAATCAAGATTTCCAAATAGCCATTTGTTAATTTTTCAAATTACATTTATTGGATTTTTTATCTCTTACATGATAAATTAAATTATTAATTTTTTTCTGAAGAGTAATTATTAGATATTCTATGCTTGTTAACATATTTTGTGATAAGCTATGATAAGATATAGGGTTAGTTGCATTAACATGAACTATACTATGTTTTATCGATTCAAAATGATTAACTAAATTATTAACTTGTTTAACTACTTCTTCTAAATCTAAATAATGTAAAAATGTATGTTTGCTATATAAGTTTAGAGTTTCCTGAGTAGGAAGCAAATCTTCAATCGGTGTGTTTATGATCTTGTACATAATTAGAAATTATTAAGTGATCTTCTAAATCAAATGGATTTGGATTATCAATGTGTCCTTTAATTATTTCAAATGGCGTGAACTTTGTCACTGAATGTATGTATACTATTATTATAACAAAATACAGAATTTTTAATTAGTCGATCTGGTGTGAAATTTGTGTTTTCTTCTTGTAAACATGTATAATGTTCTAATGAAACTGTTCCACTGGGAAATTTGAATTACTGTTTTTTTTGCGGTAGTGATATGTAATTGGATATGGCGTAGTTCACAAAAATCTTCTAAATCGAAATTTTTTAATTTTCTTCTTCTGTCGGTAGTCGGTAGTCCGTGATGTGAAATTAATTCTAAGAGTTTTTCTACGACTGATATCCCTATTATACTATGGATAAGCCTGACCATACCGCGAAAAAGAATCAAATATAGTCAAATAAGTTTTATTAGAAATGTAAAATATATCTAAATGATGTGTTCAAAGGGTTTCGATACATGTCGAGAACACCTTTATCAGCTTGGAAGACGACCTTCGTTGTGTTTTATTGATGGAAGACTATTATTTTTATTTTTCCTACTATAAAAATAAGCATCACACTTAGTTTCACCTTTGCGACTATAATTTTTTTTTTATAATTTTTTTACGTCTATTTATGTGGGTGGAAGACGTAGTTTGTTGTACAATTCAGGTGGAAGACGATATTTCCTAATATTTTTATGTTCATATCAACGTGTACCAAGTTTCATCCATGCGAAAATGGATTTTTTTCAATTTTTTTACTAGAATTGTAACCCTCCCGCAACCTCCTGTCGTACAACTGGAATGGAAGACGATGATTTTACTGTTAAATGCTATTTAAATAACTCATATTCAAAAAATAAAGCTTACGAAAATAGTTTATTGAAATCTGTCATTATCTCCCGGACTATTAATAATGGTATTATTGTAATAATCAACCAATTTTAGTGCTGCTTGTAAATCTTTAAAAAGAATTTTTTATATAAATTTTGAAATAAAACGTATTCGAGGAATATACCAATTTTAGTAAATCCTGTAAAAAAGTGCAATTTTTTCTAAAATGTTTTATTTTTCCACAAGGTATGTTAAGAATTAACATTGTGTCAAACGGGTTATGTAGGTATAAGGGTTTAAACTTTGACTTTTAAACAACGTTACGTTTATAAATAATAATTTTAATATAAAAACTACTTCTTACCTACAAATCCAAATCAGAATCGAAATCAGAAGATGAACTGTCGCAACCAATATTTACAATGAGTGGCTCGATCATTTCATCAGTAATATTGTCCAACTTCCACATTTTCTCTTCTTCTTTAATCGTATGATTTACTGCCTTTTCCCAGTTTTCAGGCTTCACATTATTTACAGCCTCCAAAAACAACTGTTTAACATCACTCATTTTAAAAGAATTATTTTTTCTTGAAACTTCTCCCTTTCTATCAGTTCAATCGGGTTTACTTCGCAATGATATGGTGGTGATCTAACCACCGTCATCCCACGATTTTTTGCAATTTCATCAATTTCATATTTTTTGAATTTCTCTTTATGAAGGGAACACAAATGATATAGTTCTTTTCTCACAGAACTGGGATGGAACTTAATATTCTTTGAATTTAGCCAATTCTGTAAATCTTTTTTTAACCACTTGGTTGTGGGCATTTTTCTATAAGTCTCGAGTGATAACTTGCATTATCCATTACTATTATACAGTTCTGAGGAAGAATATCTATAATTTGTTCGAACCACTCTTTAAAGACATCAGCATTCATGTCCTCATGGTAGTCGCCGGTACGAGTAGATTCAAAAGTCAATAAACCACCTTTAACAAAACCGTTTGAACTACCGATGTGTACTATTATTAGTCTGCGCCCCTTTCCTGATGGTGGATTTAAACCATTAGATAAATTATTAAGTGTAAGGGTTAAAGATAAATTATTTAAAAAAGCCTGTCTTCGATTTGTAACAGTTTCATCTTGCCAAAATTTATTTGGTTTATGTCCCTCGTTGATCCATGTTTCATCTAAATAAAATATATTTTTTCTTTGGTTTATCATTTCTTAAAATAGACTTTCTGGAATGCTTTTTCCATAGAAAACCTATTTCTTCTAAAAGTTTCCATAGTGTGCTTCGACTCATTTCAGGGTAATCCTTATTATCTCGAACCGTGGCAAGAACTTTGTCTACTGTCGGAAATTCTTTTCTAAAGAAGAACGCATGCACTTTCCTTCGAAGTCTTTCTTTCAAAAGATTCTCTAATTGAAATTTTGGTTTTCCTGGAGCTTTACGTGCTGTTTGAAACTCGCCTCATTTCTCTTCTTTAACAACTCTGTAAATCGTAGATTTCCCAACACCAAGAGTACTACTAACTAATTCCACTGTGTCATCAACACTTTTACATAAATGTTTGTCTGTAAATGATTTAAAATAATTAAATATTAATGTTTTTTCATTAACTGTTAAAGGACCGATTTTTTGTAGTTTACGCGGCCCTTCCAAATTTTCCATGATCACACTAGAATTCACACTGCACCTTGCAGTTGCAACTAAACGACATTTGGTAAACTGTCAAGAATACAAAACTTGGACCTTCTTACTAAATGGAAAACCTATAATCGCATTTTCGGTGAAATTTGTTGGGAAGGTATTTATCTACTTATAATTCGATTACTGTAAGAAATTCTTGGAATTAAAATAAAATAAAACAAAATTGGCAAATTGGTACTTATTGAAAATAATCTTAAGATAAGACTATGTAATCTTTAATACACAGGGCTTTTGGCATGTCCAAACCTTTTTCTATTGTTCTGTACAGCTTATGTTTATAAAGGACCAATAAAAGACCCAAAAAATATTTAGATTATTCTGTAAAAATATTTAAAATGACCGTACTAAGTTTTGCATTAGAAATGCTGTTTTATTACTCTCTCATACATAAAAATAGACTATAGTTTCAAAATAGACAAAAACTGGTTCTGCTCATTTTGTAATACTCAAATCAGAATATAAGAAAAAGTTTGGGTTTGACAAAAATATTCGTTGCATAAAACTAGTTTTGCACAAAATTTTTGGACATTATTTGAATTTGAGTATTGATAATATTATATACAACAATATTTTTAATTGTTACTATTTGGAAACTGCCCTGTATGTGAAACAATCCAAAAGAGAATAAAAAAAAAGATATGGTTGGATGCACAGTTAAAAAAAAAATAATAGTATCTAAATAGACAATTGGAAGCTATGGCGATTCTACCGAAAAAAAAAAAAACAAATATGCATATATAATATGTCTCGAAAAAACCTTGAAACTTCTTACTTAGCCGCGGAACTCTCAAAAAGACTTATCGATCTATGGAAGTAAGTCGCGATTTCGTCTCACCTATTAGATTCGATTGTGGTTAAAAGTTATAAAGTTTATTTGTTATTAAAGTGGGTCGGGACAGTGCGGCATGCAAACAGTGATATATTTATAAAAACTACAATAACTATAATAAATGGTGAGTAATAAATACCTTTAATTAATTATATAGATGATTGAGAGTGTCCCACAAGCCTATTTTGTGACCTGACTGTGTAGATCATACTATATTAATTTCTCAATTATATGGAGTCAATTTTAAAAGCTAGAATTCAATATACCCCCATTAAAACAATTTACTGGGTTATGTCAATTCAGAAAGAATTTAAATAGACATAGAAGTCCCACAAGGCTCGATTTTAGGCCCGCTTTTAATAATATCTAATAAAAATTAAAATAAGTTAAAAGAAAATTGTAAAAGCACTCTTAATAAGTGAAATTGTTGGTTCCAATGTCATTCTTTATTCTTTAAACATAAAAAAAACGCATTTTCACACTGTTAAGAAACATCCAAAAACATAGAAATTATTTTAATGATAATTATAATAATATTATAAATTTTTATAAAGATTAAAAATGTTAAGGTTTTAATATGAACGCAAATTTGCATAATTGATACCAAAATGTACAATTAGTTCCCATTATCAATTAAAAACGTTTAACAAGTACCTTAAATTAAATTCACATACAACTTAAATGAATATTTCTCATAAATATAAAAAATGTGCGTGTGCTAAAAAAAATTCTGTAAAAACAAATTATTAATAAATAAACATTATAATAGACATATTGCCAATTAAAACAATTTAACTAATATTCTCTTTTATTGCTTTTTAGTAGCCTATAAATAATTATTTACTTTAAATTATCACTTATTTTATGATAGTTTGAACTGTACTTGCGTAATGGTAGATTTAGAACTATCAAAAATATCGATGACACTTATAGACACATTGGCAACCAATCAATGTTTTTTACTCTGATTCCATTTGTGGTTGCAATCTTGTTAGAATATTAATTTAAACTTGGTTCTATCGAAAACGGGTTAGGAATTTTAAATATCTACACATAAATATTAATATTTTTACATATCTTACATAATAATACAAAGAATATTACTCATATTTTAATAAAAATGTTATAGAACCAATAGCGATCATATCACACCAAAGATGGTATTCAAATATGTATTTATTTGTTTATTGTAACCACACGGACCGAACAGTGTAGCCAAATAATAGGCCAGTCAGTAAAAAAAAATATTTATAAGCAATATGGAATTTGCAACCTTATACTTATCAAGCAAAATATTTAAATAATTTCTTGTTTTTGTTTTTTATAGAGTTTACAAAACACCAGTTTCATAATACCTTAATTTGTATATTATTTCCTTTTAATTTTATTTTTCAATTTTGTAAAAATCAAAAAATATTTTAATTTTGTTTAAAGTAAAACCAACTGTTTCAAAATTTCAATTGATGTATTTCTTTGGTGACAAAATACCGTTTTCCATTTCCTTGTTTTATCAATAAATATTCTGTATATAATCAATGATTATTTTAAAGAGTTACTAGTAGAAAACTTCATATCAAACATAACATTCTTGTGGGTCATTTAATAATGTTTTGTTATTTACTCGGTTATTTACTGAAACCTAAAATTGACAAATGAAAAAAAACTATACCTGTAAGAAGCTTTTACAGAGAAATGTCCATAATATCTATAATTTTTACGATAAAAATCTAATAAAAAACCGTATTCAATCACAGTAGTTAATGTGATAAAAACCAACCAGTTTTTATAGATGTTTGCTGAAGCAATTATCATAGAAAAACGAATGAATGTTTAAAAATTATTGACAAGTGATCCCATTAATAAATATTTTCCTATTTTTTACATTAATTTGAATTTAACAGTCTGAGCGCCGGTGTATCCTTTTTGATACACACTGTCAAAACCATTGTGTATCGAAAAAGATACATCCAACAAATTGTGTTCAAACATTTGTATATCTTACATACACACGGTTTTAATGCCTTTTATATGGTCAATTATTGTGGTGTATTTGGGTTTGGCCTCCAATAATAGCTAATAAAAAAACGACTGTATAGAAATTAAAACATTTATTAAAAAAAATTGAAAATCACTTTGGCGCTTACGAAATATAACTTTTGCAAATATCCTTCATGTTTAATATATTAATGTTGTGACAGTGTTACTAATTGGGCTTACATATTTATGTTTTGATCCGAGTTTTTTTTTTTTTTAATATCAGAAACAAATATCTGTACATAGTTCTGTCTAGAGTGACAGCCTTGATATTTGCCTAAATACTAATGTTTTTACCAATATATTTCTGATAACCAATAACTGCAAATAAAGAAAAGTTTCTTACTAAAATTTCTGTACCTTAACATATACGTTAATCCTTTCAGGACGGATTTTTATTTCTGTTTTACGTGTTGTAATCGTTAATATTATTTCATTTCCTAATATTAAGAAGCTTCTTAAGCAGTTTGTATTTTTTTTTAGAATTTTCCAAAATGTATTTTGTAAAATGGGACATATTGTCCCATTAGTCCGTTCTACCGGGACATTACAGCCCCATCAGTCTTGGAGGTTGTAAAATAATAATCAAAAAAATATATAAAAACTATATTTTAGTAACTAATTTTAGAATAAACAAAGGTTTGTGACTATATATGATAAGGTGTAAAACATTTGTTACACAGTGGTACACCACATGCTCTACAGACTCATCTTGTGCGCTTTTCAATATTGTTTTGTAAGCATCTAGTACACCTTCTCCGCTGTTGTTCAACAATAGGCATGCAATCTCCAATATTCAACATTGTTCTTTGCCTCTTCGAAGATCGTCCAGATGTAACGTCTCTTTATACTCGCCTTACTTTTCCCATGTTCAATAAAACCTTCTGCCAAAGACACCAAGAAATCCAAAAATGGTACCTTTTTCGTTTTACTTCATTATGGATAATGTAGGAATTTACAGCAGTCATCAACATCATTTTGTAAAAAACCTTTTTCCACCATTTGGTAGACTTCCGATCAAAGTCGTAGAGACTAGTCAAATGGTCTGTCATATCAACACTTCCCATATACTTGTTGTAAAAGGAAATGATCTCGGGGCATTCAAGAGAGGCTTTCACACCATTTTTCTGTCTTCTTTGGTTATCTGACCCCCGCAAAAGTTGCTAATTGCCATGACTTCCTTTGTATCTTGCCATCTAGTAAAAGTTATCCCATCATTTGTACACAAGAATTTGGCTTGACTTTTCTCTAGTTTTTCTTTTCGGTATATTTTTTCGGCTACTAATACAAGTCCCTACTGCTGCGTATGGTAATGTTTTCATCAACGTTACTGATGTAAAGAATCTATCAAAACAAACTACAACATCTGATTTTCTTATGGAAGAGGTAAGCTTGCATACTACCCTTTCCTCTAGAGTTCCATCTATCTGACCTTCTTCTTTACCACTATATACATTTAGATCGTATACATATCCGGTTAGAGAGTCGCTTCTTACCCATAATTTGATGCCACGCTTAATGGGTTTTAGTGGCAAATATTGTTTCAAACTGGATCTACCTTTGAATTTTTCCATGCTTTCGTCTATGGACTGGTAAACCGAATCCGTTCTAGCTTTCTGATATGTATATTTAAAACACTTCAAGAGCTCTTCTACGTAATAAATCTTTGTACAGTTTGATGGTTTTTCGGGGTAATTAAAATACAATTTAGAAATTAGCAATTTGTACCGATCGCGCGACATTGCATTTTTAATTGTAGCATTTCCCATAGAAGGATAGTTTGACCAATAGCAGTTCAAGCTTGGCAGCACATTATAAGTCATTACTAACATAACACCACTTACCATCATAATTTCAGAATAGTCAGTCAATTTCACTTTCTTTTTAATTTTTTTTTTCGATAATCTTTAGTTTCTCATTGGTGCATTGGGATATGAACATGTGTACAAACTTTTTGGGAATAACTGCAAAAACACTTCCAATTCTGTTGATTGGCTATTTATACAGTTCAGGAGGATTTCTTTATTTCTAGCAAGAGGCAGTTGAAATCGTGGAATATAATTTTGCGGAACTGAAGACTACATTATCGTGCTTGATGCAGTTGAGGGCCTAGACTGAGGACTGTAGATGCAGTTTGAGGAAACAAAGTACTCTGGCGATTCGCATCACCATTATCGCTACCTGTATCTTCAGCTTCGGCGAGTTCGTTATTTTCTGATTGAACATCACCATCGCACTCAGACTCGGTTTCTAAACACGAGCTATACCAATCTGGGTCTTCATCACTACTATTTTGGTAAGGATCAGTATCACTTTCGGAGAAATCAAGATTTTCAGCAATTTTTTCAAGTTCAGCTTAAACTAGTGGGACAAATGATCCCAATAATAAAGCCTGTTGGGACATAACGTCCTACAAAAAAAATCAGCTTCAAGGAATACGTAAAATATGTTCAAACTATTATATACACTAAAAGAAAGGTACTTACTTGGAAACACAGAATAAACAGTATATAATTACCCTAAAAAAGGCTTAAAAACATCCAAAAATAATCAACATACGGCGTAAAGCTCGAAAAATTTGAAGTTATCTCGCTTTGTTTACAAACAACAAACTGCTAGATGACCGCAGGCACTGAAAAGATTAAACCGGCATGTATGTATATATATATATATATATATATATATATATATATATATATATATATATATACATAATTGGGATCATATTTCCCAGCAGTCAAAATAAAATTTGATTTGGGATATATAGTCCCGTTAGTCTTGAAAGGGTTAATATATAACAACTAAATAACAATAATATAACAACTATACAAGATATTTTCTTAGTTTAACCTCGAAAATACTTGTTAGGATCGATGCTCACCAACGTTTTTTAGCAGTCGCGTTAACGTCACGTTGACGCAAACGCAATTCTCAATTGACACGCAGCGCTTCTTGTTTTCTGTCCCGAAACAAGGCAGTAAATTCGTCTTAAGAACAGAAAAGATGGATGTAAAAAAAAAGTAATATTTGTACTTATATCTTGTTTACAGTTTGTGAGAAAGAAGAGGAAATACTGGGTATATCCTTACTTAAGTTCCCGTTTACTAAAGGTTAAAAGGTGCTTTCATATTAAGCTGTTGAACTCAAGAAATAATGATGAATATATATTTTTTAAATTATGTTCGTATGATTATATGCTCATTGATGAACTGAATTTAATGCTTCAATAAAACAAGATCATTTAGGAATGTTCCTTTATTTCTTTTAGAATAATTCTGTGTCGAATTGCTCATCGCCCATAGCTACAACGTTTTTCTACCACCTTTCGTGTGTAATTCTTGATACAAACTAATATAACTTTGCAACCGATAATTGGAACAATCTCTTGGGGCTGAGACAGGCCAAGATACTTCTGGGTGAATATAACCAGAAAAGATCGGAAGCCTGCATCTGCCTGAGCAAGAACAGGCTACGTATTGTAACAGGGATCCTTAACGGGCATTGCCGACTAAAAGGACACCTAAGTAAACTGAGAGTAGTAGAGGATAGTGAGTGCAGATTCTGTGAGGAGGAGGACGAAACCTCCATTCACATCCTAACTGAATGTGTAGCACTCCATAATCCAAGGGCACTATATCTAGGAGGATATCAAATAGAAGAGGGAGATTTACCTAACTTGAAGCCACTTCAAATCCTACACTTTCTTGAGAAAATAGGATTGGAAGGGTCGCTATAGGCATTGAGACATTTCCTTAGTGCAGTGGCGACAGAAGGGGGCACAATAGATCTTTTAGGTCGCAGTGTATTAACACCCCATTCTCAACATAACATAACGCCAATGTACCGCTGAGACGTGGCGTTGAAAAGGTATCCTCTGGCTTGATTGAATGTATTTCGACGCCACCGACCGTTGCGTCGACGCGACTGCAACAAACGTTCGCGAGCACTAGCCCTTAAAATGCGGATGTTACTCGAGATGTTATTTCATCTTGTAAATCTGAACCATTTATCACGATATCTGCAATAAATATGTTAAAATACTCGATAGGCATTTCTTACTAAAGTTACGTTAAGAAATATATTATTAAACTCGGATTGCATTTATAAAAGTATTTAAAACACCTATGTCGTTGAGACATAAAAATATTTGGTCCATCTACATTGGCCTGGTGTAACTACCCGTTTTTCTCTAATGACTGGCATATAATGGCGTATGTATTAACCTTTCTCATAATAATGGACCACCCTGAATATATTTATTTTAAAACCAAAAAGGTTTATTTTATTTTTGTTTTCCTTTCGCAACTAGTGACATAATTGATTTTTCGTAACCAGTTTCATAATGTTAAACTTTATATTGCTGGTTACATAAATTAAATTATTTTGACACTTGCTGCGATTAAAAAAGTTGTTACCTACTTGTTATGTCAAAATTAGAAAACGTTTTATTTCGATACAAGAATCTTCAATCTAGGTATGGTAAATTGTTTATTAGTTATTTAAAAAAATAATTTCACAACACGAGGATAATAAACACCGAATACACATAATTATAATAATGTTAAAACCTACGGCTCAAGGATATTTCGTAATTGAAATAAGTTTCAGAAAAAGTATGGAAAACAATTTACTTTTTATTTTTTTAAATAATTAATAACCGGATTCATTAATTGGAATAGAATATTCTTGTGAGCACTTATATCTTTCCAATCTTCAAATTTATGTTAATTAGATACGTTTCACACCATATTCAAACAATTAAAATATAATTCATTAAAAAAAAAGTGTTGACAATCATAAAATCAGGGTATAATAGTATATTATTCAATAAGTGTATAATGTTGACCATATTACACGAGTGTTGTAAATATTCGAGTGTAGTATGGTCCATTATACACGAATTGAATACTATACTTTATCTACAACTGAATACGGGGGCTCACCGAAAACGAAAAGGGGATTTTTAGAAAAAATTCTTTGAAGTTATAAATAGAATTGACAAGATTGTTCACAATTAAAAGACCTTTCAAATGAGGAGTATTTAAGCCACCGTGTGAATTAAAACGCCAATTTATACAGGAACTCGTTTAAAATTATTTATTGATGTAATTAATAGTAACATTACAATTTAAAATATTAATAGTTCCGGTAATATCATTGAGATTATTGTTTTTTAAAGAAAAATTAGTGTTGCTATTGATGAGTACAGAATCATGACGATCACTGTCAGAAGATGATGGATTATTAAGCCCAACACAATTTTCATTATTAATTTGACTTAAAATTGCTTGGGCTCTTTCTATTTTGTTCTTTTTTGAATTGGCGATGTACCCTTCTGCTGTGGAGGCGGATTTCCAGCTTCCATGACGTTTTAATGTTGTCATTGAAGCTCCAGAATCAGCAACCAATGTTGCAGATGAACGCCTGAGGCAATGGCCAGTATATCTCTCAGGGTTTGATAATTGTAAAAACGTAGCAATTTACTTTCCCATTGCGCTAAAATTGTTTATTCCTATCACTTGTTTTGTACACTTTCCTTTTTGGAAATTTTCGGGCCGGAGGTCTATATATTTTTTAACGATTTTGAAAAAATTATCCACAATTGTGAAATTCCTTGGGACTTTGGTTTTTGTGTGTGGCACGTTTACTTGAAAACATCCCTCAAAACATCTTAAATCCCCAATTTTCATATTATTTAATTCACAGGATCGGCAAGCACCCATGACCCCCATAATCAAGGTAACCTTAAAAAAATGTGTAAATTAAGTGTTCACCAATCAGAGCTTCAGATTTCTTAGGTTCGTAATTTTCGGATCGTCTTTTCAACAAAGCACGTAATCTCGGATATTTATCAATGTCGACATTGTGCTTGATGTTTAACATGCTTTTTAGCATGGAATAGTTTGTCCATAAAGTAGACGATTTGTATTTACTAGAAATTTCCATAAAATATACAAGCACAGTGTCTTCGGAAAAAAAGGATACATTTTTTGTTTGTTTCCACGACATAAATTTGTTGTATGCAATCTCATAATTTTTCCTCGATATTTCAGGTAATAATTCCAACGACGCCACTTTAGCAGCGTCGCGGATTTCAGGAGGTGTTATTTCCATGTAATCATCGTCTTCCATTTTTTTAATTGATAAACACTTAAGACGGGCTTAATATTTTAAGTTTAATTTCAAAAAAGAATCGGGAACAACGAATAACTGTCAACATGCTGTCAACTAACTTGTCAAACGCATACTAGATCTAATGATTTTTAATTCTAGTGGGGTATAATTGACAAAAATCGTGTAATATGAATATATTCTCACTAGTGATACTATATGGATTGCTTTATGTTGCCTTAAATACGCATATAATACATCCATATAATGACAGTTGTAGATAAAATTATTAATTTAGTATAAATAGCTATTTTTGATCAATTAGTACGTTTGACTTTATGGGTTCGATATACTTGAACAAGTAAACTGAAATTAAAGGCTAATAGTAAGGTTTTAGAATATTTTTCTGCAATTAAATTACACAATTATTAAATTAATTGCAGCTTTGTCCACCCTATACTTAAAATACTTAAAAGCATTAAATCCAACTAAAAGCAAGAAAAATCTTACACAGTTTCTATTACAACCATTATTTTATTCCAGAAAATGCACGATTACTCAGTTCTAGTCCAAGATGTCGTGAAAAATTACGGAAAAACGCAAATTCTGAAGAAGCTATGCATGAAAGTAGAGACTGGACAAATGTAAGTGGGCTGTGATTTATTTTAAACTCCAATATCTTCACAAATATTTTCTTTTTTTTTATTATTAGATACGGATTGCTTGGTTCTAGCGGTTGTGGTAAAACGACCCTCTTAAGCGCTATAGTTGGAAGAAGAAAAATAGAAAGCGGAGAAATATGGGTTCTAGGTGGAAAGCCTGGAGATCCTGGAAGCGGGATTCCCGGTCCGAAAGTTGGATACATGCCGCAAGTACGTACGATTGGAACAGCGAATTTTTATCTTTACAGATTTGCCTTCATTTAATTTTATCTTTTCGACCAGGTGTTAAATCTGGTTTATAGATTTTTGCAATTTTCTATTAGCGTTTTCTTGATTTTTCTAACAGCAAACAGTATCACCAAAAAATGTTGCGATAGTATTGGACTCAAGATTACGAATATCTCTGGTATATAACAAGTAGAGTACTGGACCTAATACTTCTGCCTTAATTTTTCTTAGGTCGAAATAGTATCCTTCTTTTTTAATTTTGAAATACCTATCTGATAAATAGGATTTTACTGAAATGGATACGAAATTATATTCGTTCAGTAAAATGCAATTGCCTACTTTTCGTTTTGTAGTCTGTGTATAGAAGAGATAAGTGGGTGCACAAAAAAAAATTCTTTAGACTAATTATTTCCTAATATTAAAATAAAAAATAGACATTGTTTTGACTAAAAATGTTTTGATTTATTTATTTGGTAATCATGAGCTGCACCAACTGTATCTATATTTACCAATTACAATATATTAACATCAAAAACAAATATGTTTTGTAATTATAAAAAAAAGTTGAATGGTGTTAAAAAATTAATAAGTTCATAATAATTTTAAAAATTAGTCAGACAATAATTATCAACCTTGAAATTTTATAATAATCTACTATATCAAAATTAAATTAAATAATGTAAATATTGAAATTGAATTCGCTCTTTTTTAAGAAATATGAAAAAGATTTTTTTTAATTGTATGTAGCTGGTATTGATATTATTAAGTATACGATGTTTCAATAGAAACAGATTTTATTAAAAAAAATAATTATTTTATTTATTAATCTTTTAGTACAATTGCGATACTATTTTAAAAATTAAAGGGATACATGAATAATAATAATACTTAAATATTCATATTCACAAACCATTTTTAAATAGTTACGCCTAAAACATTAAACATAGAAACGTTAATTCAGAATAAAAGTAGAGTTGGACGATAACGTGATTTTTAATAGTTACTGTAAAATTCAAGTAAAATTCAAGTAAAATTCAAGTAAAATTCAAGTAAAATTCAAGTAAAATTCAAGTAAAATTCAAGTAAAATTCAAGTAAAATTCAAGTAAAATTCAAGTAAAATTCAAGTAAAATTCAAGTAAAATTCAAGTAAAATTCAAGTAAAATTCAAGTAAAATTCAAGTAAAATTCAAGTAAAATTCAAGTAAAATTCAAGTAAAATTCAAGTAAAATTCAAGTAAAATTCAAGTAAAATTCAAGTAAAATTCAAGTAAAATTCAAGTAAAATTCAAGTAAAATTCAAGTAAAATTCAAATAGATATTATAATTGTTTTAATTATTAAAAGAATAGTGGGATTGCCAACGCTCTACTTCTGCTTTCTATTATCGTATTATCGCTTCATATGAAGAGTCTTCTTTCTGTTGCTCTTTATAGTTTTGCCCTATACTCAAGAAAAATTTAAGTTGAATTAAACAATGATTAGTATTTTCCTGGAAAACATTTATGAAAATCGCTAGAAAAATATGTAGAGAACGTCAGTTAACAAAGATTCTAATAAATACATAACAGTTTATGAAATATCCTGTAACAGTATTTATTTAAAATTACCTGTAAATAATATACATGTAAGTTTAAAATCGTTTGTGAACTAAGCTGTAACGTGTAATTTTTCAGGAAACAGCTTTGGTAAGAGAATTCACCGTCAAAGATGCCATATACTATTTCGGCAGAATTTTTAACATGACAGAAAAAGCCATAGAAGAAAGATACAAAACACTGGACGAATTACTCAATTTACCACCCGAAAACAGGTAGGTAAGCCGTTTTTAATAACATTATCATGACCAAATTAATTGGATTCCATGTTCGAAAAGTGTCTGTTTTGTCTAGTTTGAACTTTTCTACTTAGAATTGGCCATAAAATTTAAAATTATATTATTTTTTGAGCGTTTTTTCAAATCACGGTTCTCATTTTATATGGCATTTGGTATTCAGTTACATTATCTAGCGGTTCTTATACCATTCTCTAAATAATTTCGTCGCTACTTTAATAATTTAATTATTTTTACAAATTAAAGTACTCAGTTCAATAAAGGACATATTTATCATTTAGGTATTTAAAAGATTGCAGTGGAGGACAGCAAAGACGGGTCTCTTTCGCAGTTGCTCTGGTTCATCAGCCAAAATTACTAATCTTAGACGAACCCACCGTGGGCATAGACCCACTTCTACGAGAAAGGTAAGATTTTGGAATAACCAATCAATCCGAATATATTTTTTTAATTTTAATTTTCAGAATATGGTCGTATTTGTTCGAAGTAACGAAAAAAGAAAAAATATCTGTGATAATAACGACGCATTATATAGAAGAATGTAGACAAGCTGATAAAGTAAGTATTTTTTCTTCGTTTAAATGTCACAGTCGCTCATTAAAAATTGATAAGTCTTTCTAACTATACAGGGTGCGCCACGTTCAATGGGGCGGAGCCTGACGGGTAAACTACAAACGTGGCGCACCCTGTATAGTGTAAGGGCTAGTAGTCAATCAATCAACACGTTGCTCGAATTGACTATCTTTTACTCTAATATAGATTCATTACAAATACTACTAATTGAAGCATCAAAACATTATTTTCATCTTCATAAAACAGAATTTAAGTTACCTCTAAATAGGATTGTTAGACGTCCCGCTTTAGACTGCCACGTGCCACGCCAAAATACTAAAACGCCACACTTTTATCTCCCCAGGAAAAAGTAGGTACTCGTTTTATAAAAATATAAGCGGAAGACCAGTTTTTTAGATCTCTACAAAAAATTACCTTTTTTTATTAAAATACCAGTAGATATATGTCTTTTTTTATCTGATCCCCTGTTGTCATCGTTGCCACGCTTCTTCCTTTCGTAAATCTGGCAACCCTACATCTAAAGCTTAAATATTTTCCCAGAGGTTCTGTAAATGTGTCTCGAATTTTATGATTTCTCTGTTTATAAATTACAGATTGGATTAATGCGTGATGGAAGACTTTTAACAGAAGATTCGCCCGATAATTTATTAGCCACATTCAATACACAAACTCTAGAAGAAGTTTTTCTCATCTTATCCCAAAGACAGGAAGCGGGACAGTTACCTCTATCAAACGAAACTACAGTGAATAGTAGCCGATTGAATGAAACGAATGAACAATATGAATCTACCAGTGTGATGTCGTCTGTACAAAGCATACCTGAAGGATATAAATCTACGGATGTAAGTAGTATGAGAATGTAGACATGTGACAGCAAATCAGCATAATTTTCCAATTTGATGTCAATCTGCAGATGCAGGTCGCAGGTCTCGAACGCCTGCGTGCTAAGATCTAATGTGCCGCATGTAGGAGGTTGATGTATTATTCTCCCTCATATTTAAAAATACCTTTGACTTAACACGTCTGCCGCAGTAGGTATGAAAATTATAAAACTGTATGTTTTATTTACACAAGAAGCAAATAAAAGCTTCAGGACTACGTTAATATCTATTGTTCTATTAATATACTCTTCACCCAGTAAGTCTGTGAAGAGTATTATAGGTTTACTTTCGAAGAAAAAAATATTTAATATTGATCCAAATTTTAAAATGTTGTACTTAAATTCTTCTGATCAAATTTTAAACAGTCGAAAACGAAAAATAATATCATCTTGATTTTTCAGAAAAATCAAGCTCTATAAGGGGAGAAATTCATTCAATTTTGAAAAAAATCTTATTAAAAATGGATACAAAAGAAAATGAAATTTAAAAAAAAAATCAAAAATGAAAAACGTTATCAACATGAATTTTTAGTAATTGCTTTAAAAGTGTAGAAATATAATTTTGAAAACAACATTTTGAAATTTCAAGTTACCAGGTATCAAATTTGAAATTGGATTTTTCCAAAATAAAAGAACTATAGAGTTCAAAATTTGAAAAAATACTAACAATAACTATAGAAATTTATTTTTGTAAGCCACATTCTGAAATTTTAACAAGTTTTGAAGTTACAAGGTGTCAAAGTTGAACTTAAATTGTTTAACAATTTACATTGTTGCCTATATTTCATCACCATTTCCAAACTAATCGATCTAAAGAATAAAAATCACTCACAATATTATAAATCCCAAGATAGTAATCCATTTAGGGTAATTTTTTTGTTCTAAATAATATATTTTTTTAGATGCTAACGAAAAAGTTGAAACCAAATATCAGTATTATAGGAAAGAGAAGGATGAGAGCATTATTAGACAAAAACGCTAAACAATTTTATAGGAATACATTGTAAGTATTTTTTTTTATAAATTCTTCATATTATAAACATTATAATATTGGAGTTTTTATACAATATTTGCTGAATGTTTCAAAATTATATATTTACTTCAAAACTTTTTTTTCAGATGATCAACTCAATTTCTTTTTTATTATCATATTATTAGGCATTACAAACAAAATTGGTACCCGTGTGTAATGACAGGTTATGATATGGCAACCCTGTAGGCCTGGTGATTTGACAGGGTCAAAGATATAGACAGTTATATAGATTGATCATCCCTGTTTAATTTTTTTTCTATATTCTATGGCTGAAAATTGATTTAAAAACACATTTTGTTTCTAAACCTATTCTAATAAGCACTTGCGTAAATAAAACCACCCACTTTGAGCAATCTATATAACTATATATGTATCATTGACCCATAGGCTCACACGGTTGCCACACCATAACTTGTCATTACCCACAGATAGCAGTTTGACAAGTTGTTGGAATACCTAATTCTATCTGTCTTCTTTTTTTCATCCAATAATATCGTTATTACCAGTAATTAATTTTATTTACAGATCAATTTCATTTCTATTGGCAATGCCTATATTACAACTATTGTTGTTACTGTATTCAGTGGGCTTAGAAATGAGGTATATCCCTATAGGTATTGTCAACGACGAAAGCATGAGCGCGTTCTGTCCAGATTTTTCCATAATTGGTTCAGCAGAACCAGAAAAAGACGTACTGTCCTGCCATTTTCATAATCTGTCATGTCGATTTTTAAAATATCATCTCACGGATCCTATGATAACAAAGGTGAGTAACAATTTAGTTAATCTAGGTGTTTAAATTGGTCTGTCGGTTATCAAATATTCAATTAATAACAATAAAGTGTTGCATTTTATTAACGCAGCCTCTGTACTAAATTATACCAAGCATTGTGCCCCACGTTGGGCGCCAATTTTTGTAACCAACTATAAATTTTACGTTGTATATATATTTATGTACTAAATAAACCATCTAATGTGTTAAACTTAGGTGGAGTACCATTCGTTAAAAGAGGCGACAGAAGACGCGATGCATGGCAAAGTGTATGGCGTCATGCACTTTGCACAAAATTTTTCCGAAGCTCTAGAACTCCGAGGAGAAGATGGCAGGGATGCTTCCAATGAAACTCTCGAATTCAGCACGATCAAAGTACGACTCGATATGTCTAGTAAGTTAATTTTCTACTTCTGATACATAAACTTTGTTTTGACAATAATTAAAAGGAAGCAAAATCAAACTACACCAATGGAAAATCCATCTTTAAAATCCACAGTAGATAAGAATTTTTTGTTAGGTTCACTTTTTGCTTCGTTTAGGGGTATTTTTTTTAATCTTTTTATCTTTGAATAAAACTAACATTATACAGTGTGTTTCAAAAAGTTTGTACTTTTTTGCTAATAATGGTTGGATATTCACCTAAAACATATTTTTTAGTTGGTTCTGTGGTTAATAACTAACCATTTTTATTTTTGGTTTTAATTTCTTATTATTTTTTATTAAAAATACTCTATACCGTGTTACTTATATTACAGATCAACAAGTAGGAATCAGCGTGCAAAACAAACTGAGAAATCTGTATATGGATTTTCACGAATCATTGTCAGCTGACTGCAATTATCCAAAGGGATATGGTGCAGTTCCTGTGCAGATGAATTACGAATACGGATCAAGGGACGAAGACTATCAAGTATTCATGATACCAGGCAATATGATTACGTAAGTCTAACTAAAGACGGTTCATCAATAAATGTAAAGTTAAAATATTAGAACTGGGAATATTGGGTATTGCCGTGATGTCTAAATGTGGATAAAGTTTAAGTGAAGAGAACATCGCAATCTATAACACAGTGTGTTCCAGTGAGAAAAATCTGTCTCTTCATCTAGCATGACTGCTAATTCTTTTGAATTTCTCTCCTCAGGTTTTGAGTTTTATTCTTTAAAATATCTTTATCAGATGGATCTCTAGGTTGTTGCCATCTTTTCTTGCTTTTCTTTTTTCTCTAACAAGTTCACTGACCTTAACTTTGCATTAGTATTATTGTAAGCAACTGTTTGAACAATTTTGGTAAAGCTTCCTCACCAAGTTGTTCAGTTTATTTCAAAATTATATTCAAATTAATCAATGCGTTTTAAAAACATGACTTTGTTTTACAGGATGATGTTCTTCTTCGGAGCCACGATGACGTCCCAAATTATGATAAGCGAAAAACACGATGGGATATGGGACAGGTCCATAGTAGCTGGTGTAACGTCCTTTGAATTGATCGCTTCCCATTTATCGTTCCAGGGGGTGATCGCGCTTTTCCAATCATTCGAGATGATCGCTTTGGTTTATATCGTTTATCAGTACGAATATTTTGGAAATATTTTTCTTATGTACGCTATACTTGCGATGCAAGGCGTTTGCGGTATGGCATTCGGTAAGTTCAATCAGAATTTTGTTTTAAATATACCTTTATATAGGGAATTTAATTAATTTTAGGACTGTTCATATCTGTGATTTGTTCGAATATAACAATGGCTAATAACGCTACTATGGGTTTCTACCTCCCAATGATAATCGTCAGCGGTAAGTATTTTCGAAGAATTAGGCATTCCAACGACATGTCAAAATGCTGATAAGTGGGAACTGACGTTTAGATATGGCAACCCTGTGGCCTGCTGTTATTGACAGGTTCAATGATATAAATACAGTTGTATAGATTGCTCAAAGCGGGTCCTGTTGCGAGTGGCCATATTGCCTCCCAAGTATTTAATAATTAGAATCAGCCTTTGAGTATAGTAAAAAAATAATTACCTATATTTTACTTCAAGGCATAAACTTTTATTTATTTTGAAAAACATGAATGATGAATCTATATAATTATCTATTTCAATGACCTTGTCAAATCACTAAGTTTACAGGGTTGCCATAATGTTGTCATATCATAACCTGTTAAAATCCACTGGTAGCCATATTGTTTGGAATGCCCACATACTTTGATTTTCTTTTACTATACGGAGAATGGTCGCACTGCGCAGCTTTCTGAGTGCCTTTTAAAAGGAGATAGAAAACTCCGCCATTTTGAACCCTTATTACGTGTTGCCTACATCTTGGCGCAATATTTTTAATAGGTGCGTTTTAATCATCCGCTTCTGCTTCGGAATTGTCGGTTTTCTTGTTTTAATCTGACAGGTTAGAATGACTGAACCGACAAGTCCGGAAGCAGAAGCGGATGATTAAAACGCACCTAATATTTTGCTAGCTGCTGTCAGTGTCAGTGAATATTATTTTTGGAGTCACAGTTTATTGCTGAAGAATCAGTTAGCTCACTCGGACCAGTTGAAAGTTCCAAAATAACATCCACTCCAGGAATACAAATTCAGGATACGCAGAAGACTGCTGTTTTATTATAGGGGGTTGTCATATATTGTATTATCTGAGTTGCGCAGTGTATAAACTGGAACATTGAGATAAAAAGTGCCGACGCAGAGTGAGCGATCTGATTCTTTAGCTATAAACTGTGTCATAGGGTTCAAAATGGCCTCGCCCTATGTTGGGCGTGTCGGACTTCTCTCTTGCCCCGTATAGTAAAGTATGTGGGAATGCCTAATAAACTTTTAAATGTCACACGCTTAGATGGAACACTGTTATTTTTCGCTTATTAATGCTACGTTTGAATATCCAAATCCGATGCATTTTTGGCATCTCGAGCGTTTGTTTATCAACAACGGACACATCTGTCCTACTTCATTTAAGTATATTGAATCACGTGTTCAAAGATTTACAACATCACAGATGTATCCGATGTGGATATTCAAATACAGCAAAAGTATTTGTATATTATGTCATTTCTTCCTACTAACTCGATAGTAGTCACTTTTGTGACGTTTCAAAACACAACATTTTTACTATTAATCTATTAACCATTTTTGTTACGACTTTTCAGGAGTATTGTGGCCGATACAAGGAATGCCAGAAGGATTACAAATACTAGCAAAAATCTTACCATCCGCGATTCCGATAGAATCACTGAATACAGTAGTGAAAAAAGGCCTATCTATCGATTCATGGATAGTCGCGTGTGGACTGGGACAATCCATTTTGTGGACAATCGTTTTCGTTACATTAAGTTTAATTTTCTTACGAAGACAAAGATAGGCTAAATGAATTGATAAATAATAAAAGAAAAGTCAAAAATATATTTGTTTTATTTATCAATCATAAAGAATAAAATTCTTACGTCGTTTTCATTTGAGTACCTAATTATAATAATCACATACTTTGATTACTATACGGTGCAAGAGAGAGGTCCGACACGCCCAACATAGGGCGCAGCCATTTTGATTCATATGCCACAGTTTATAGCTAAAGAATCAGATCGCTCACTCTGCGTCGGCACAATGTTCCAGTTTATACACTGCGCAACTCGGATAATACAATATATGACAACCGCTTATAATAAAACAGCAGTCTTCTGCGTATCCTGAATTTGTATCCCTGGAGTGGATGTTATTTTGGAACTTTCAACTGGTCCGAGTGAGCTAACTGATTCTTTAACAATTAAGCATTCCAAACAAATGAATTACCAGTGGGCAGGTTTAGTATATCTAAGGGTGGCGACATATGGTGTATTCTATCTACTTTACGTAAAATCATGAATAATGGATTACATTTCAATATTTTATGTCAAACAGAATAAAAATAATATTTAAAAAACCCACCTATACATTTCTTCATAAATTGGCAGGCTTGGCGAGTACTACTTCGAATACCAATAGCGTCCAAGTTGCAAGACTATGTCGCTACCCCCCTTAAATATACAAGAATTTCCCACTGGTACCTATTGTTTGACAGGTCATTGGAATGCCTAATAAACTGTGACTCCAAAAATAATATTCACTGACACTGACAGCGGCAAGCAAAATATCAGGTGCGTTTTAATCATCCGCTTCTGCTTGCGGAATTGTCGGTTTAGTCGTTTTAACCTGTCAGATTAAAACAAGAAAACCGACAATTCCGAAGCAGAAGCGAATGATTAAAACGCACCTATTAAAAATATTGCGCCAAGATGTAGGCAACACGTAATAAGGGATCAAAATGGCAGAGTTTTCTATCTCCTTTTAAAAGGCACTCAGAAAGCTGCGCAGTGCGACCATTCTCCGTATAAGAAAATCAAAGTATGTGCTCGGAAGTCATAGAATCTCCCTCTAAAACATCTCTTCTTTATTCTATCTCAATGACTTGTACTGGGACATTGGGCGATTTTAAATCGGGTACTAGAAATGTGACCAAGTCAAGTATGGTCAAGGTTCTTACGTCATTATAATGACACGTTCTGTTAAACTTAAAAATGTTTGGTTTATATTGACACTAACTTGACAATGCGCATAACATTGTCAGATATCGTAAATTTTTGTTTGTGTATTATGTATTGTAGTTAGGATTTGATTTAGAATTTGTAAGGATAAAAAATAAATATATTTTTTGTGTACTGATCATGGATGAGCAGAAAATTGGTGTTGTAGTTGCTTTGGCCTCTGAAATTTTATTAAACCTTAAATGCGTCCATATCTAGGTTGCTACGGTTGCCAGACGTCGTGCTTTAGACGTAACTGTCCTGCTTTTTAACTTGCTGGCACGTGTTACGCCAAAGTACGAAAATGCCCCGCATTTCACTTAAATGCTACGCATTTTAAATTAAAAGTTGTATATTAAGAAATTTTTGACAATGTTTGACCTTTTTTTTTTGAGAAGCTCCTCAGAAAAAGGACCTGGTGGTTTATAAAAATATAAGCGGAGGACCTTTTGTTTAGATCTTCACAAAGGAGCTTATTTTCCCTTTCGTAAATCTGACAACCCGATATACTCAGCCTTTCTTTCGATTTTACAAATGACACAAACAAATAATTTAATAATTAAAAAGTAAAAGTTTTACATTCGTCATTTCATTTGACATTTCATACCTGTGATGACCACCAGTCATGTTAAACTTGACCATTTCAAGACAATATTCAATATGACGTCATTTTTTATTTATATCAGTGTAGTCATTCATATTCAAGACATAGCATCTGATTTAAAATCGCCTATTATAAAAACAAAAGACCTATCGGCAACCAGATCAATCAATCCTTTAGACGTTGCTTCTCCTTTAATTTTTTTCGTAATAGTTGGCTTCTGACTTATTTATGAATCGTATTTTTTGACGTTCCACATCGGCAGTTTTAACATCATCATCGAAATGAAGAACTCCAGCGATATATTCTTTCTGAAGGAGAGCGAAAATCCCAGTAACGATTTGTGGTCGATAAAAGGTATCAGTCCCATGAAAATCAGACGGAGACCCAGCACCGCACAAAACGACTGTTTCGAATATGGTCGCAATGTACTTAACGGCAGCGATATGGATAAAGCTGTAGAGAAGAATGAGGTGGGCGAAATTCCTTCTAATGAAGATCAGGCTGGTAACGCTGGCAAACCAGGTAAGATGTAGTGGTAGGTTCTACCTATCGATGGCTTAAGTGCAAAACGTCGTAACCCACAAAATTTCAAAAAATCGCTTTTCGCCTCATTGGAGTCATATGTTTTAGCTGCGTCTTGTGAAAAACTATCGTAAGCAACAGCATAAAATGAAATTAATTTTACGTGCCAAAACAAAAAGTTGCTCTTCGAAATTACATCTAAAGTCTATTTGTTTTTTTTTTATTTCCCTGGAAAATTTACTTTTTGGGGTTACGACGTTTTGCACTTAAGCCATCGCTATATCTATTAGCCATTCCAACGACTTGTCAAAATGCCGACAAGTGGGAACTGAGAGTTTACATGTGGCAACCCTGTAGACTTGTTGTCGTTGACGGGGTCAGTGATACATAAGGTCTTTTCCTTTGTATCGAAAGTGTAGCACTGAGCTACATCACTTCTGAAAATATCGTTCCATTTATACAAATTGTATGGATGGAACGACATTTTCAGAAGTAACATAGCTCAGTGCTACACTGTCGATGCAAAGGAAAAGACCTATATAATATAGTCTTTATAGATTGCTCAAAGCAGGTGATTTGCGAGCGGCCATATTGCCTGACAAATATTCAATAATTTGAATCGGTTTAGCAAAAATGTGTTTTAAAACCAATTTCTAGCCTTTGAATAGTAAAAAAAAAACAGTTACATACATTTTTAGTCCAATTAATCTATATAACTATCTATATCATTGATGCTGTCAAATCACCAGGACCACAGTGTTGTCATATTATAACCTATCATATGTGCCTATCATGTGCCTGTCATTTCCTGCCGTCAGCCCAAAGAAGTAGAGAGGGTAGAACAATAAAGTACCGTCTGCGCATCCATCACGAGTGTAGAAATTATGCATGATTCAACCTTCCACTCTTACACTCGTAAATGACAAGGAGAGGTTGCCCTAAAGCACTGTAAACAAATTCCAGGATTGGCTTTGTTCAGCGATTATGTTCATGTTCAGCTCAGTTTTTTTGTTTGTGTTGTGGCTGTTTTAAGCTTTTTAGGCGTCAATTCTTTGTTATCTTGCTTATATTTGTGATTATTTGTGCTTTGATATCGATTTAGTATCAAATTATACTTGTTAATTTTTTTCCGATGCACTATTTTATAATTGTTGCACAAATTGTTGTGAAACCGTCCCTGAATCTTGTTTACAAAATGTGCAAAACTAAATTGTGCATTCTGTCTATACTTTTTCATTGACAGTTATCATTCTACTCCTCCACTTCATTGAATCAGCCATTTTGTTTGGAATGCCTAATTTTTTATCTGTTAAATTAATACTACTCTTGATGCTGAGTTCGGACAGCTCACTCTGTGTAAACGGATTCACTCTATCGCACTCTTCCACGTTCAAATTACTCTAGTCAAAAGATCCGCGTTAACTCTTATTACGTTAAAATTAGGTGGAGCAGAGTACATGGAGTTAATTATCCTGTGCCACATTTATTTTCTTTTCTTTTTTAGCAGTTGGAACGATCAGCAATATAGAGTGCCGACAGCAAAAATCTTTGGTTAAAAAAACTGTGCCCAGACAGTCCGATGAAGTGTCCAGTTCCAACATGGCTCGGAATCCAATCACTGGATTGGGAATGGATATAAACGAGTATAAATTTCCGAAATTGTGAATCTGGTGCTTTCGTTTCGATTTAAAAATTACGGTTGGCAACATTTTTTGCGGATTGTTTAAAATTTGATAAAAGTAGAATGTTTACTACAATAACCAAAATAATTAGATATTGAATAGTGTAATAACTTAAACTTAAAGAAATAGTAACTATTTTTCATTCAATAAAAGTTCTGGTCTTTGATTAATTTTCCCAGAAACTTTATCAAAGAATTCTAATTTCCCCCAATTCTAGCTAATAATTTTATTAATTGGAAATTAGGTACTATTGGTTATCAATTTTTAAATGAAAGCAAATGCATCATTTTTATTCACACTACCAATTGGAACACAATTTTAAAGTTTTTTTTTTACTTTCATCAAATGATAAACACTCCTATTCGAATCTTCTTTTAGAAATAAAAAAAAATGTTTGGAGGATTTCAGAAATTTAATTTAAAATTAAAATATCACTTAACAAAATAAATTGTTGTTTTATTTTAGCGAAATAACTTCAACTTCAACTTCAATGCTCGTATCTTTTGATAATGTCTTAATTTTACAAAATTAAATTTTCATTGAAATGATAAACAACCAGGATCGGTGCTAGGAGCGGGTAAGTCGGGTTAGTGCCCGGGGCGATAGCTGGGCTAATTAACTAGTTTATGAAGAAAATTATTAAATCAAGATTTCTTTTTAAATACCTATGAAAAATTAGGTGGAATTTTAACAAAATTTGCTTATAATGTTTTGTAAACTTTACTACTTATAGGTACCTTACTCACTTTAGAAATTATCGAGCATGAGAACGACTAAAGATGGTTGAGGTGCTTCTACGAATTGTTTTAACAATAAAAATTCTTTTTTTTTGTGAAAAAAACACTCCAAAAGGAGCGTTTATTAATATTACAATCTGATCAAGAGTTGATCAATGAGTAATTTTGTTATAACGTAACTTAATTAGGGTTGCAAGTTCTACTCGCTAGTAGGGTTTGATAACTTAATTACACTAAAAACTAACGTGTAACACTAAAACGCACAATATTTTGCTTTGTTATTAACACAATCACTTGGCTAACTCAAAAGGTTTTCACTCTCTTGAGTGTTCTTGTCAGGTTCGTATTGTCAAGAAGCTGGATCCCCTCAACATTCATATGTTGGTGGAGCCATTGTTCGTGACTCCTAGTGAATCTGGTGATAGTCTGGTCCACAGTGTCCATCTGAAGGTCTCGATGAAGGTCACTGTTTCTAATGTACCAAAGAGCATCCTCAATACTTTGTTCTGAAATGTCTGGATTATTACTATATTACTGTAGCTGGCACAACCCCAGAGCGAATGCCATATCGCTCGAAATTGGTTTGAGAACTTGTTTATATAATAGAATTTTGTTATATATAGATATGCTGGAATGCCTACTAAGTAACCTGGTACATTTTCTTGAATTTTATATCTAACTCTTGTCTTTTCTTTTTGACATAGATATTTTGCCGAGTTAGTATAAGGGACCTGATTATTATTTATGTTAATTGGTGTTCTTTGACCATTTTTGTTAGTAAAATTAATATTAACGGATTTGGTTTCGTTTAGTTTAATACGCCATCTTTTGGTCCAATTACTTATTTGATTAACTATGTTTGTAGTTTATTTGCAGCCTCTTTGCCTATCGCTAAGATAGCAGCATCATCTGAAAATGTAGCTATTGCGTTCTAGGGTCCTAGGACGCTTCCCTGTGGTACTTCTGCTTTAATTTCTTTCAATTCAGAGTATGCTTCATCTTGTTTTACTCTAAAGAATTTATCTGAAATGTATGAATCCAATAGCTCTGAGTATGGCTGTGGAAGTAGCACACTCAGTTTATGTTTTAAGCCATACTTTATCAAAAGCCTGCGCAACATCGGGGATGATGGCTGAACAGACTTCTTTGCTTTCTAATGCTTTTTCAATCGCATTTGAGATTCTATAAACCTGATCTATAGTTGAATGGTTTTCTCTAAAGCAGAACTAGTAATCTGCAATAAGTTTTCTTGCTTTAATGATGGGTTTTAGTCTTTTTATTAGTATTTTTTTCAAATAGTTTCGATATTATAGCCCTATATGACGAAACTTCGTTCGGAGGTATTCCTGGTTTGGGGATCATAATGACTTTAGCTACTTTTCACAATCTAGAGACATACCTTAGTTTGAATAAGACACTAAACAGAGGTGTGTAAATTTAATTATGGCTTCCTTCGGAAGTTGTTTTAAGATTTATCCTGTAATTAAATCAAAGCCAGAAGCTTTCTTAGGATTAATATTAGTTTTTATATCTTCTGCAATTTCCTTTGGAGAGGTTGGTCTGATAATTGAGTCATCTCTCTCTAGAGGAGCCCAGTTCGGTAATTCTTCTCCTTCATTTGGTTGGAAATGATCTGTGAATCTATTAACTTTTTGTATATTATTTTTAACCCAGCTACCATATGTATTCCTGATTGGAGCAATCTGCACAGTGGGTCTTTTTAATCGCTTTGTGGCTTTCCATAGAGAATAATCAGTGGATATATCGTTTGTCAACTCACTAAGGTACTCACAAATAAATTCATTTTTGATTCGTTTTATCTCTCTTTTTAACTGCTGGGTGGCGTTGATAAGTTTGGTTTTATCTAATGGAGCTCTGGTCTGATGCCGTTTCCTCCTTAGTTTTCTTTTTGCAAAGATTAGGTCCCTTATTTCTTTAGGATAGTTATTTCCTGTTGTTCGCTACACAATAGGTGGTGTATTATCCCATGCTTGACGCTTGATAAATATTGTTTAGCCTTCAGATGTACAAGTAACAAACTTTACGATTTCGGTAATGGTCATTTTTATCAAATTATTCAATTACTTGCTCAATAATGTCAAATAACAGGGTGAAACTGTTTTGAGTGGCCCACCCTGTATATCTAAAATAACTAGATTTATCGAATTAGTTCATAGACCAAAAAAGCAGCGGCGGGCGGTTAAGTAGTCTGCGTGCGATAAAGGGACACTTTAAGCCCGCTAAACGTACTTATAATCTGGATTGTATCGCTCGGTCGTGCATAAAAAAATTGAGCGCGGCGCCATCTACATATTGACCTATTTAAAATCAATTTATATTTAATGAATGCTCTGTGAACTGGCTTTTAAAGAATTAAAATATCTTTATTTCTTACAAAAATATCCTGTTTGGGAGTTTTTATTGGTACACCTTGTATACTAGATTTTGGGTCTTAACTTTTTTACTTTTTTTGTGCCACGTTAAAATGTTGTATTTTTGGCAAATAAAATCTTCAACATTTTTAATACCAATTTTTTTGCTCACGTTCTATTTTACTACCATAGCGTGGGAGGGGTTATTTTTTGTAATAAAGGGGCGGAATTTTACCTTTTTTGTCAGGGGCGGCGAAACTGTTAGCGCCGGCCCTGTAAACAATGTTCTATGTATTGGTTCCATCATATTCTATTAAAAATTCAAAAATCATTTGTTGTCGTTAAATCGTTAAATGTATTAGAACATAATTTATTTCATTTCATAATCAAAACTTCTGTTTTAATAATTAATTTATGCAAAAATAATCAATGGTTTTGATAGAACCATAGATAAATTAATAATTAATTTATCTATGGATAGAACGCTGAAGAAATTCTTAAAAAATATGAATAGTTCAAGCTGTAGTATATAATACCGTTAAATATGCAAATTAGGTTAACTGTTGTACTTCCTGTATTTATTGTTTTTTTATTTATTTATTTATTATTTCACTGTTTAAACAAGTTAACCCAATTAAAGAACGTAGTATAGAAATTAAGTAAGATTTCAAAGAAAAATGCTTTAATATCGAATAATTCTTTGCAGGTTTTTAAGCTTTTATTGGCAGATTACAGCACTGATTCAATGTATGTTTATTGGGACCAAAATATACTTCAGAGAATAATGTTATGTAATTAATAAATTAAAAGTAAAAACAGCTAGTCCCTTGGTGGAAGACAGAACAGAACATTTTTTTTGAACTCAATAGAAATGAATTATTTTGACACCATTTTGTAAAAGTTTGCAGTCATTCATTAAACGAATGTCCACTAATAATTTTAGATCATCTATATACACTCAAACTTTTATATCATTGATATTAACAACATCATTCAAGAATATAGTGAAAAGATGAGGCCTCAAAATTGATCTCTGTGGAACTTTTCTGATCTATAACAAAGATACTCAACATACTGATGTCTGTTCTGTAAATAAGAAAACAACAGATGTGTAGCTGAATGCTTTAACCTCTGGAGGAAAGTTCCTGAAATAAAATAACATAGTTAATTATGTCGAAAGCTTTAGATAATTCGATATATATCATATCTAGTTGACTCATTCTATCTAAATAAAAAAATATTTTAAAGAAAATAACTATAAATATTTAGCAAGATGGTACACTCAAACATTTAATGTTTCAAATGAAGATGACTGTTAAACTTTTTGGATATAATTTTGGAGACAGCAGTACGTATTTTTAATAATTATTTTTATCTGTAAATTCAAATTTATTTTCAATTAGATTTATCACATATTTGCTCCCTTTCATTTTAATTTGTCTTTTAACTGTAAACATAATTCAATTTAGACAATGATTGGGGCGCAACCCCTTATTTCTACTTCTTAAGGTTCTATTTGAACGAATAAATATTTTGATCGGCTTCCATTTCAGGCTGTTACCTTAATATTTTTCAACAAAGCTTACAAATAAAACTTATTGAAAACTTATAAAAACAATCAATTCAAACCGTACCGTAACTAACTACAAGCGAACAGTATCTACATAAATTTATTTACATATTTTTATTGTTAAGGAAATTTTAAATGACAATGTGTAACTGAAAACGTGCTAATTGTATACCGAAAAGCACGAAAACATTTTTTTAAATGAACATCGAGATAATATTGTGAGTAATTTTTATTTAATTTCTGATTAGTATGAATTTTAGAATTGTGTAATCTGTATCTGCCAAAGTCCAAAATAAAGGTAAGTCAAAGTATTTAATTAATAAGAAAGGTCCAGGTCCTGAGATTATTCCTCCCATCCTATTTAGAACAGGGCCGACTAGAGGGGGGGTAGCCGGGACTAATACCCGGGGCCCGGACTTAAATATGGGGCCCGGTAGCGCTGTAAGGGGGCCCGACGACAGCATTTTCTGCTCTGCATGAGAAATTCGACACAAGATGAGAGTGGGAAGTAAAGTTTCGGCTGACTTTTTTTTTGAAGAAGAAGAAGAAGAAGAAGAAGAAGAAGTAATTGAAGTAGGGAGAATAGTTTTTTGTTTCACGGGGCCCGATCTAGAGTATTGTCCTGGGGCCCGGCCTGGCTCTCAGCGGCCCTGATTTAGAAATTGCAGCTTCGTATTGTCTCGTCCTCTCTTCCATATTTTCAATAAATCTATCGCCACGGGTGAGTTTCCAGATTATTGGAAACTCTTATGTCATTCCAATATACGAATCGGGTAGCAAGTCAGACGTCAAAAATTACCGACCTATATCTATTCTCAGTACTATACCTAAGGTTTTTGAGAACCTTATAACAGACTACCTTACCATGAATATGGTTTTTGTGCTGGGAAATCGACTGAATTAAATCTAGTTACCTACGTCGACAGTAAAGGAGCAGCAACAGTTCAAGCCAAAGAAGTAGAGAGGGTAGAACGATAAGGTACCGTCTGCGCATCCATCACGAGTGTAGAAATTATGCGTGATTCAACCTTCCACTCTTACACACGTAAATGACAAGGAGAGGTTGCCCTAAAGCACTGTAAACAAATACCAGGATCGACTTTATTCAGCGATTATGTTCATGTTCAGCTCTGTTTTTTGTTTGTGTTTTGGCTGTTGTAAGCTTTTTTGGCGTCAATTCTTTGTTATCTTGCTTATATTTATGATTTTTTATGCTTTTATTCCGATTTAGTATTAAATTATACTTGTTAATTATTTTTCGATGCACTATTTTATAATTGTTGCACAAAATGTTGTTAAACCGTCCCTGAATTTTGTTTACAAAATGTGCAAAACGAAATTGTGCATAGTGTCCAGACTTTTTCATTGACAGTTATCATTCTACTCCTCTCCACTTCCTTGGTTCAAGCACACTTCTTATGTAAATTAACAGGGGAAATCGCCAAGGTCCATTCTGCCACTTTTTGTCTATTTCAAGGTCACACCAGTTCTCGCTCGTCAGCAATCAACAATCATGTCATCCGTTATCAGTCAATGCAGTGTTGCCAACATCTGTCAAACTTACTCGACATGCATTGCGTTCGGTTTGCCACGTTCCTTTAACTCCTTTAACACTTTTAACTCCAAACGACTCTTTTAGCGTTCGGTTTAGTCCGATTAGTGACAGTTTAACACGCTTAAATGTCATTTAAAAGCACCCTAAAATTTGTCCCGCTCCAGCCCCTGACTGACCGAACTCGCCTAGTAGATGGTACAAGAATTACTAACTACATACCATTTGCATAGCCCATCCTCACGGAGCTACATGCCGCCATACAACCTAGGCAACCCACCATACACCTAATTTGTTACACATAGATACTTTTAATTATCGTTTCTATCACTTCTACTTAGTCAACCCAACATACACCCATACTGATATATTTTTTCTACTGAAAAAAAAAGTTTGAAATGGCCGGGGATCGAACCGGGGACCTCATGCATACAATACATCGTCGCTATCGGCTAGACCATTGAGCCTTTTAAAAATATATTGCAGAATACCTTATAAAAAAAAATATTTAGATTTAAGGATGGAAATTTATGTACGTGTTCAATATGTGTTTACCGTAGAGCGAATAATAAAAAATGATATTTAGCATTGATATCGAAAGGACATTAACATATTGTTGGTTCGAATTATGAAATAACTCCGAGTTTCCTAAAATTTAAATATGTAGTTCAGTGGATAAAATAAGCAATTCAATTAATTTGTACTAGGTATATTATTATAAATTGACTACCTAGTCTGGTAATATTTTATACATGGTAAATTGTTTTTGTGTTCTAAGTAAAGAAAATAAAATTTTATTGTTGCAATGTTTTCAAATGTCCCCATGTAAAAACATATTTTGATAATGGGCCCTATGATTGAACGTTTACGTTATCCGTAACGTGCATGTTAGGGCAAATTTTAACAGTAACGAGGCAAGTTCGTATGATGGAAAACTGTTAAATTAGAACATAACAGGCGGAAAATAACATTAATGTGTTGGAAAAAGTTTTCCATCATATGAACTCGCCTCATTACTGTTAAAACTCGGCCTAACATGTACGTTACGGATAACGTAAACGTTCAATCATAGCACCCATTGGGTCCTATGATTGAACGTTTATGTTATCCGTAACGTACATGTTAGGCTCAGTTTTAACAGTAATTAGGCAAGTTCGTATGATGAAAAACGGTTTTCAACACGTTACTGTTATTTTCCGCCTGTTATCTTCTAATTTAACAGTTTTCCATCATCCGAACTTGCCTCGTTACTTTTAAAATTCGGCATAACATGTACGTTACGGATAACGTAAACGTTCAATCATAGGACCCAATGTGTAGAATACGAGAAGCCGGAAATAAACCGCAGATAAGTAGGTATATCGCATGTAGGTACATTAGGTACCTATATGATCATTGCTGATAACACGGTAGTTCGCGAAAGAGCGAATTTGTTTTAATAAAATTAACTAGATAGGTATAACGTACCTACCTATGTTTCAATCTATAAATACAAGAAATTTAAAAATTGTTTCTTATTTTATAGATTTTGTGAATGTTCAACACTATAAATACCTATAATTTTATTTAGCGGTTATAAAAGAAATATTTTTGTTTCGTAGGTTTCGCGAGTGGTAGTAAATGATAATTTTTTTCTATCGTAGTTTATGTGACTACCCAGACAGCACACCAAATCCTTTGGATATCTACTGAACATCCCAATATCCACTGAATGTCCAGTCTATGGTGGATATCTATTTTATATCCATAAAATGTAATTTATAGACATGCAAATGTCCATAAATAATAGTAATTATATAGCAAATTATTAAAAAATTATGCCATTGTGGCTAATAGTACCGTTCAGATATTTAAAATTAATTTTTTTAAGGTGTATTCAATATCCCATGGACATCCACATATATCAAAGTCTTAGCGCGGACGCAAACCATCGTGGATATCTACTAGACGTAATTTTTGATTTTGCTTCCTAAGTATAGATGGCGATACCACTTTCGTATCTACTCATGCTCAACCCGCCATAATTGAGTTGATCGAAAAAAAATTCGCATTAAGACTCTATTAGAGACTAGAGTTGAGAATTTCCATTTATTGCTGAAGAGTCCTAATAAGGATTACTTTTTTCTTAGTGGGCAAACTCAAAGGCAGATTGTTGGAAATATTTTTTATCTCTATTTTCTTTCGACGTTATTCAATAATCATTTGGTTACTTATGGAATGTGTACTAAAGATACCTATAAAATATTTTGCTGAATATCTGAATTCTATATCCTGGGATATAGACGGACATTTGGTTGGATATCCATATTTGGATATCCACAAAATATATTCTGTGGATATCTCTGGGATTTCTTGTATTGTCTGGAAGATACTAATTAGATATTTTGCTTAATATCCATAGGATATATCTTCTATATTCTGGATATGGACGGACATTTGGATATCCATATTAGATCCACGGAATATTTCTGATATCCTGTGGATATATTGGATATCCACAAAAGATATTCTGTGGATATCTTTGGGATTTGGTGTGTTGTCTGGGCGTATTCTACACATTATCAAAATATGTTTTTACATGGGGACATTTGAAAACATTGCAACAATAAAATTTTATTTTCTTTACTTAGAACACAAAAACAATTTACCATGTA